GGGCTGAGAAAAAGCTGTGAAAATCTTCGCCCATTCAACATGCCATCTCTATCTTCTCTCTACTCATTCCAGCTATGTCTTTTTGTCGATGCCAAACAACCCCTAAATAACAAATGTTTTTTTTTTACCACTGACAAAACATCCAGAGCTAGAATTTCAGCTTAGACACGGCTGCCGTCGGACAAAAACTAAACGAATTAGTTTCTTATAGAAAACAGTCTAACTCCGTTTTGACCATTTGCTTAATGACCCAATAGCATTATTACACGTGTTCAACTGCGCTTTAATCTGTTTCTTTCATATTCAACTCGTGTCCTTTGCTGGTAACAGCCTGTAATTAAATTTGTCTGCCGCTCCGCCCGGTGGCTGTCGGTGGACTGGATTTCTCCACGTTGGATTAAATTTTTTAGTTCTTTTTTTGGGCTTTTAACTAATTACGAATTTACAATTATATCCTTTCATTTCGAACACGAGTCGCATATGAATGACCTCATCATCTAGTAAATTATTCGTCTTGAATATCGTTTGCTCGTGAGAATTTATTAAATTTAATAAATAATATATATAAACAAACATCGATCAATTTGATCAATTTAATTATTAACTTTAAATCTAAAGATCTACCAAATTAATTAATTAAATTATTTTTTAATCAATCATTGAATAGACCATAATCAAAACCAATCGAATTAATTAAATTCATTAGATTTTGATTGATCAAACTCTACTCACCCTAATAATAATTAATAAGTGATGATTTTCAGTACAATTGTACGAGTCTTAGCAAGTGATTTGCGGTTGTTGCCGACGGGCTAACCTGCCTAAATCCATATTATTTGTTCACAACCACTACAATGAAATTAAATACAGACTAGCAAAAGCCATTACCCAAAATCTTCAGCCCTAATGAGCCAATACAGTAAGTATGGTGCCAAGAAACCCCCCCCCCCCCCCGGGCAGTTGCCAGCATTAAACCACAGGCAACTTCCATTGCCATCGTTGTGAGATGATAAACGTTTAGGTTTTGACAATATAGGATTAAAATTGCCTGAGTTCTATAGTCCTGCTGTTTGATTGCATTGGTAATAGACTTTTCTGTGGCATAAGGCTCTTTACTTCAGGTTTTTTTTTTTTTTCTACCCCAACAAATTCTATATTCAAGTCACTCCTCAAAGGGTTCCATCTGCTACTGCTGCATTTGAACCGCCATTTCCTCCTCTCTTGCTTGCCGTTGTGTTCTTCAATATCTGCAAATTACAATGAAGTTCAGATGAAATTTTTTCTTGTTTCATTTATTTGAGTTTTCATGTAACTGAGTTATTCAAATTGAGTTGGATATTTTTTTTATATTAAAAACCTAGCTGCCAACAGACACGTGATCTATTATAACATATTGAAATTAAAAATCTAACATTCTACCAACAATCCACACAGCTAGTTATTACTATTATTACTTAGATTTAAATTGAGAGAGAAAAAAATGGAGCAACCACCAGAAAACTTTCCAAGGAACATCAAACAGGAAAGACAAGCTAAGGTTTCAATTCTGAAGCCCCAGTATTTTATGGTATAAACAAAGCAAAACGAATATCAAGGCAAAATATCAGTCATCTATCTGGTAGTGGCAATGTGGGTTCACCTCACATGCCCCATTAATCATGAGCTCGTGATCTTTCAATTTTTTTTAAAGACGGCAAATTACATTTGAATAACATGCTAAGTTGGGAAAATTGAAAATAAAAGGGCCATTTTATATTGGTCTATATAATGCACATTTATATATGAGATGAAGGAGAATGGTATTTGATGAGATGATGATGTTATGTGATGGATGGATGGTGATTGGGGTGATGGGGAGATTTTGATGAAAGCAATTTACTTGTCTAAGCATCTGATTTTCATTCTGCAACGTGGACAGCCTCTCTTCAAGCTCAGAGTTTTTCTTCTCCAAGTCTTTTAAGTCTGCTCTACAGCTCATTCACCTTTTTCCTCTCTCTTGCTTGCTGTGCTGAAACTCTGTTCCTCAACAACCTTTTCAAAAGGAAGAAAAACCAAATTCACCAAAATGCTACTAGTCCCACGTAGAACGGCAAAACAGTAATATTATATGGCTGAACCCACTATGGTCCAAATCTTACCTCTTTAGGCGCTTGTTTTCTTTGTCCGCCGGACTCCTCCCTCCCTTTCTCTGACCACCCTCTACTGATGGCTGAACCCGATTCGGACTGACCACAGAACCGGCTTCTCGACCGGCAGCTCGAGCTGCAGACACTTCACCACCTATCTCAGGCACTCTCCGGATCTCTTCATCACTTTCCATACCTTCTAACAAAAAAAAAAAAGTTCCGATTTTTAAACCCGAAAGGCTAAAAAAACTTTTCTTCTTTCCTTTGAAAAAAAAGCAATGTATCAAATAAAATGCTGTTAATCTCAATGGATTTTCTCAAGAAAAGAAAAACAAAAGCCCAATTGAGAAAGCTAAAAATTTTACAAAACCCACATAGAAAAACCATCTTCTTCTACAAAGATAAGCCATTTTTCTTGAAATTTTAAAGCTTCAATGTAATAATAGCTAGAAAAAAAAAAGAGAAATAATGGTGACCTTCTTTGACTTCAACTTGAAGGGCAGGACTTGAAGATCTTTCACTACTTGAAGGCAAAGAACTAGCTGCAATTGAACTCGTTGCTTGTTCTTGCATTTCTTTCTATAAAATTTAATTAAAATGAGAGAGATTTTCTCTGGTTTTTTTGGAGTGGAAACAAAAAGAATAAAAAACAAAAAAAAAAAAAAAGAGCGGGACATTAATGTTGCAGTGAGTAAATTAGAAAGAGAGTGTTGCAGAATAGTATCAGCCGTTGGATTCTATTTAAATCCAAGGGATTAGAGTGAGGGAGCGTGGACGTATGGGAGCCATGAGGAGGTTGGTGAATAAAAGGTTAATGAAAACTGAGCGTGCAGGAATGGAACCGTTGGATTTGATTTGATCGGACGGATGGATGGGAGTCGAAAGGAAGGGAATGCTGTGTATCGGGAGTTAGGGACACAGCATATGCTGGCCGAGACCGTCTCCCACTTTTGTATTACCGCAGCATGTGCTAGTTGAATTATCTTTTATCAGCTCCATGCAAACCTGTTTGCAGCAGTGAGTTGAAACTAAACAGGGACCCATTTGGTGCATATGTGTGCTATGTTAAAGAATTTTTAAATGGGGGAAATTGGTTGATTCGTCATTCATTCTAAGAGAAGGCCTTCTTTGTACCAGGAAAAGAATTTTTTTTATAGAAACTTACATGAATTATATTATATTGAAGAAATTTAAAGCTTGTTATACCAATGTGGCATGTCAAAGAATTTTTCGATCGCAACAGTACATAAAATATGGTTTATTATGAACATAAATGGAAAGAAATAATGAATGTAAAGAAACAGAGAACCCAACAACTTGACAACGTAGAATATTATGTTATCCTGAAACTATGGCTTGTGCTTTTTTGACTTGGATTTTGGGGCTTCAGGAAAAGGATTATCTTGACTAGACAATTTTCCGATCACTTTGATAAGAGAAGATGGATTCATGGCTGGGGTTGACATGCTACGAGGGCAAGTGTTGGGCGTTTCACTTGAGCTGCTACGCTCTCTGGTACTCTGGCATGGCCGCAGCTGATCCCTGGAATGCACCGACCCGTCTTCCCCCATTACATACAAGTCATCCCAGACTGAACCTGATGACCCTTGCCTCCTGAATGAAACCACAGACCTTTGCAATGTTGCCATGTTTATGGAGGTTCTGCAATAAGTAACACATAATCTCTCTGTTTGCTTCAGGCTTTGTATATAGGGAGTAGGAACGGCGAAGACAGAAGAATTTGAAGGGAAGAATGAAGGAAACGGGTTAATGGATGGAATCTAAGAAGATGAATAGGAAAAGAGTAGTATATTTTTACCATGTATAACATACTTTTGTTTTTTTTTTTTTGTTTGATTTGACCATGTTGTGTCTTGCTGAAGGTTGTTCTGTTAAACTTCTGCCCAAATATAAGGAATTTTTGTCACGAATTACTGTCGTTTTGAGTATGGATTTTTGTTAATTGAGGTCGTTCAACTAACTTGGACGGCTATCAGTATCTTTTATGAACATGTTTTTGTTTTCTTTTCCTTCTCAAAAGTACGTGAATTGTGAACATCTCAATGGTGGAAGGTGAGAATTGAGATTGTTTTGATCGAATCCTTAAGACCAAACAATTGGTCAAATGCAACCCCACGAGATCTCAAAGTTGGCTGCATTTTGGGTCCTATGGAGTTGCAACTACCCAGAACGCAATACCTAAATATAATCATCCCAATTTAAAATATGGCATGACACATTATCCTAATAAAACATAAAAAATATAAAAATAGCATGACTTAAAATATATATTTCATATTGATATGCTTAAAATTTTAATGATAATTATATATAAATTTAATAAAAAAAAATTTTATATTAATAATGTAATATTTATCAAAATATAATATAAATACATAAATTTTAATATTTTATATGATATAAATCGTTAAATCTACCTGAAAATGTAAATATTCAACCGAAACGGGGTTACAGAGCGTAGTAGGACAGCTCATGCTAAGTGTCCTGTCCCGATTTGTTGCCGTATTTAATACGGAGCCTCATTATTTTTATTAATTATTAACAATTCACATGCACCAATGTATTCAACATTAACCATTTTGTGCTTTAAAATTATTGTATTTTAATTTTTTATTTAATTTTAATCAAGTATAATAACGTTTTTTTATTCAATTTTAGGTTTTAAAAAGTAAAAAAAATAATAAATTTTTTAAAAAAGAACTAAACAACTAGATATGGATATAATAACATTTATTTTTAAAAGCAAAAAATAAAGAAAAAAATAAATGAAACGGCCCAAAGCCCAGTAGAAATTGGCCCAGTAAAGGAATTAAACGGGGCCCAGAAATTATCCAATAGAAGGCCAAGGGATGTTCCCGCTCGGTTTTTGAATGCCCGCCCTTGTCGTCTTAGCCTACGTCTCTCGCCAACCCTCGAGATTTTGGTAAGTAAAATTAAAATGGAAAAACTAAAAAGGAAAAAAAATGTTGACCAATTTTCAACATCAAAATTCAGGAGATTAAAAGGGAAAAGAGAGAAAAACAAAAATCACAGTGGAAATGCAGAGACTAATTAGGGTTAGGGTTTCAAAGCATGGATTCTCCTGAAACTTCTATACCCCCAATTTCTTCTTCTGCAACAGCCTCTACTTCTTCCCCAGTTCAAGTAAATTTTTTTTCTTAATTGATGTGATTCTTGGTTTTAATTAGAATTTCCTGTGTTTTTAGCTTCTTTCTAAGTTTTTTACACCCTTTTCTGGCTTTGATTTTAGATGGTATTTTTTGTAAATTTGCTGCTTGGTAGGGTTTTTTTTTTTTTTTTTCTCAGTTTCAGTTTTAGATTTGTATTTTGGGAGTTTTGTAAGCGAGTGATGTTAAAGGTTGGGGGGGTCTTTGTGAACATGAAATGTGTGGTTAAGTGACTTTATTCTGTTGGTAGAGTTGTGATTTGAAGGAGGTTTGACTAGAATTCCACTAATTTAATCGGTTTACTTAACTAAGTATTGGTCAAAATTTTGATTTCGTAGAGGAATTGGGAGATTCGTTTCAATGAAGTGGTAACATGCTAAACTTTGTACTAGGATGTGATTGTTCTTTAATGGGATGGTGGGTTGGATTTGAAGTAGTTTTGAATTTGTCTATAATTGATGCTATTTTGTGACTGGAGGTTTCTTTGATGAGTAAATGCTGCTTGGACGTTTAAATGATTGTGGTTCTAGATTTTGCACAAGGTGATAGTATTGTGTTATGTTCACTTTGAATCTGTTATTGTTTAGTTATGTGCTGATTTTGGTTACCCAAAAAGGATAATGGTTTGAAGGCAATTATCATGTGCTTTGTGGTATGACATGGATAACAACTTAGGACTTAATTTTGATTGAGTTCCATTACTTTGCAATTTTCACCTTACTTTCCTTTTTTCTCCCATTTCCTACCAAGATAACCGTATAGGCTTTACAAGTGCATGTCATTTCCCTTTATCGTGAATTTTAGACTTCTTATTTATCATTTTTCACTTTGATTTCAGGAATCCCCCTTTTCCAATTACATTAGCAGTCTGTCTCCTATAAAGCATGACAAGGCACCACATGTAGCACAAAGGTTCCTGGGACTTAATTCTCCCCCTCTTGTATTTACATCTCCACGTATAAATACTCTTAGAAGGTTTGTCATCCCTTGGATTTTGGCTTTATTGTTTTACACTTGAGTGTCTTCTTGCTTGACCTCTGATTGCATGAAACCTTATTCCTAGGCCTCAGTCATCCGGCGTGGAAGTATCTGAAAATGGTAAAGGGGACAAGAAAAATACCGATGGGCCTGGGAATTTGGAAAGATCTGTTAGTGAATTGCAGCAAGGATTGGTTGCTGATATTAAGAAGGTGGATGATACCAAGGATTCTATGTCAGTTCAACCCAGTAGTTCCTCTGGATGTGTTGATGAATACTTGGCTGACCCTGTGGAAGCAGATTGTGCAAACTCTGCATATTTGGTCAACTTAAATTTGAAACAATCTAATAATGTGCTTGAATCATCAGCAAATGGTTTACTAGACTCAAAGAATTTAAAATTTGATGACAAAGATGATGTGGAGAAGGAAGTTGATGCAGCTCAATTGTTGTCTGGGAAGAGTGAAGAAGGCTTTGAAAGAACGTTAACCTTTGATGTGAAGCCATTGAAGATTACAAAGGAGCAACATGATGCCCGAGGGATATCTGATGAATGCCAAAAATTTGAGTCTAATATGTTTGATCTTTCTTCTCAGGAAAAAGAATGTAAACACTTGGACCATCAGGTAATGATTGATTTCTGTCCTCCTAAATCATGTTGGTAAATAGCACTATGTATATTAGGAGATAAGATATGCATGTTTCTCAGTCTTTCTTTTTTTTTTTTTGAGCAGATAGTGGTAGAGGGCGATGGGGATGGAGGTGATGGTTTCCTTCAACTGTTGCCTGGATCTTTGCAAAGAGTTCAGGCATATGAAGATTTTGCTGAAAACATTGAAGGAGTCACAGATGTTCCAGTTCATAACATGACACACGATTTTGAGGTATGAAAGATTTGAAGTGGCTCTGACTTATAGATATCAAAATTAGATTAGTGGATTGCATAATGCTCTTTAATTTTTGTTTTTTGTTTTGGTTATTAAATGCTGCTAGGATTTTCCTTTTGCAATAGAATAATTACAACAGTCCTTGTAGGCTACTGAACACCAACGTGGCATGAGTAGGCGTTGCCTTCAATTTGGAGAAGTTCAACCAGAATCTACAGAAAACTGCAGAAGTTCTCCAAATCTCACAAATGATATGATCACTTCAAAATCACTTGCTACAACTTCAGAAACAGAGGGTTTGGGTTCATCTTATGTGGATTTAAGTGCTACATCAAGAAAGAGGCAACTGGTTAACTTGTCCCAATTGGCAATGAACATGATTCCACAGCGCTGTGGTGAAAGGTCTTCCTTAACTGTTTCCAAGCCGTCAGGTATTGGCTTACACCTAAACAGCATTGTTAATGCTATACCAATGGATCTAGGTGGAACTGCAAGCATGAAATGGGCAGTGGATTCTATGGGTATACAGGGGATAAAATCAGCATCTATTACGAGCTGTCAGTCAATGGAAAACATGGAGGATTGCTCAGATGCATTTGAGAAAGTATCAGCTGCTCCTCAGGATGGAACACTTGAAGCAAAGGTCTGCATGATTGCAGGTTCTGCTGGTTCTCAATCACTCTGCACCATGGAATCAATCGAGTGTCACACAACTCTAAACACAAAGAGCTCAGAGGATGAAGATAATAATGAGGTGTTTAACCAACAAAGTCCTAAAAAGAAAAGGCAAGTGTTTATGATACTTCTTGCAGATTTGACAGTTATAACTTGCTCTCTGCAATCAGGACCATTAATAGTTTATGCTTCTACAGGAAGAAGATATCAAACAGCTCAGATGGTGAGGGTTGCAAGCGTTGCAATTGCAAGAAGACCAAATGCTTGAAACTGTAAGTGAATTGTGTTTTTACTTGGTTGAAGTCCGCTTACATATCTGTATTAGTACGATATATTAGTACGATATATGTTAATTTTCTCCTCCTTTATTCATTTGCAGCTATTGTGATTGTTTTGCTGCCGGAATCTATTGTGCTGAACCTTGTTCCTGTCAAGGTTGCTTCAATAGACCTGAGTATGAAGATACAGTACTTGAAACACGTCAACAAATTGAATCTCGTAATCCACTAGCATTTGCTCCCAGGGTTGTACAGCCATTGACTGAGGTTCCGGTAAACAGCAGGATATCAAACAACTCAGCGCGAAAACAGAGACACCTTTTGCTTTAGTGTTTTTTCTTTTCCTCTAGTTTTGTAATTTCATAGTCATATTTTCCCTCTATAGGAAGACGGAAACTGGAAGACGCCATCCTCAGCAAGACACAAAAGAGGGTGCAATTGCAAAAGGTCAATGTGTCTGAAAAAATATTGTGAATGCTATCAGGTCTGGAAATTTATTGCCGCCTGAATCATCTGTCATGCTTTCCATGTTCTCTTTAATATATCGTTGCTGGACTTATGAATCTTCTTTATATATTGAAAAGGCTAATGTTGGTTGCTCCATTGGATGTCGATGTGAGGGGTGTAAAAATGTCTATGGCAAGAAAGAAGGTGAGTTTTGCAAGAAATATCACTACGATTGTTTTCTCTCAATGCATTCTAGTCTTCATCTCCAAAACTAGAAATAGAGAAATAGGCTCTCACCTCCCAACATCATTTTAGGGTCTATTTTGGGCTGAAAATTAGTATCTTTTGCTAGGTAAGAATTGAGAATCACTATAATCCTTGTTGCTGTGTTTCCAGATTATTGTTTGACTGAAGAAATAGTGAAAAGGGGTGGCGGGGAGCTATCAGAAAGAAGAGTGGCAGCTAAGAAGGATTTCTTGCATTCTGAGTTGTGTGATCCATACTATCTTACACCTCTGACACCTTCATTCCAATGCTCAGAGTAAGATTTATGGTCATGATGTCATACTATCATTCAGGAAAAACAAAATAATACCAATTCAACTTCTTTATTTGCTGATTACTTACTTTTTTATTCAGACATGGAAAGAAGGCATCAGTATCCAGACATCTTTCCAGGAGATGCCTTCCATCACCTGAGTCTGATCTCACCATCTCAAACATGCTTGCTGATGAATGCCATCAGACTTCACTGCCAAATCATCCCTCGATTATTATGGGTTCGTCATCATCTAAAGCAAGGGAATTGACAAGTCTTTCACAATTCCAGTTGGGCCCTAGAAGTGGTTGTTTTGCTTCAGGGGGTTCCCTTCAGTGCAGTTCATCTATTACACCAATGTCTCCTTTAGATGCGACTAAAAATCTTCAGGGGCTTGACTCTGGTGGTGGACTTTATGGCATTTTGGAGGATGATACACCAGAGATATTGAAAGACACTTCTACGCCCATTAAGTCTGTGAAAGCAAGTTCCCCAAATGGCAAGCGAGTTTCACCTCCTCACAATTTGCATCAGCTTGGGTCAAGCTCTTCAGGATCATTAAGAAGTGGTCGTAAGTTCATCCTAAAAGCTGTGCCTTCTTTTCCACCGCTCACTCCTTGCATTGATTCAAAAGGCAGCAGTAATCAGAGTAGAAGCAATCTTCAAGAAAATAGTAGCAATGATTAATTGCCAAACCTGCACTTTGGAGTAAGTTGTTACATTTTAGTGGCCCCTTTATTATGTGAATCCAATAGTGACTTGTACTAATTTTTACTACATTATGCAGCAACTACATTGGGTATTTTCGTGTTGGTTTTTTGTATTTGAGCTTCAGAGAGCAGTAAGCACCTTGCTCTGAAAAATTTACACCTTTAAGGTTCGTCATAATGCCTTTGTAACTCATCAATTATCATTTTGCCATTTTATATGCATGATTTATTACCATCATAAATTTTTGTGGTATACAGGTACTAAAGTGGCCATATTTTCAAGTAGCAGACTAATTCCCAGAAAGAGATTGCTTCTGCCTTATGATCCGTAGTCTTCTTTTCTCTATTTCTCTTTTCAGTCTTATAGTTTTTTATTTGGATGTTTCTAATCCAAGCCAAGTATGTTTCATTACTCATAATTAGAGGAAGGACTCACCAAACATGTTGCCATTCAACTGTGCGAAAATAAAATTTTGGTTTATCAAAACTAATGCCTTTTTTCTTGTATTTTTTTATAAGATATCAAAGCTACTGTTCAATAAGTCTTCGTTGTCATTTTCCAAACCTGTATGCATCATCATTGTGTTTTAGCCACGGGTAGATTATTTACCCGCAACATAGTTGACATTAATTCAAGCACCATAAATATTGCCCTTGAATCTGAAACCATGATGGGGAATGTACTGTTTCACTCTGCAGTAGCCATATATATATATACTGAGTAATTAAGTGGCGACTGTTGAGTTAGTCTTGTAGAATCATGAAGTTTTATTTGAAATGTTAAATCTTATCTTTATCATTAGTTGTCATCGATTTAAAGATTCGAGCACCAAAAATATGAAACTCAATGAAACCCTAGAAACTTGGTTTTGACGTTGGATGGTTGAACTACTTCCAGAATGACATTGTTTACTATAGAAATTTTTATTCAGGCAAATGTCTCCGGATAAAGAGAAAGTTTCTGTAAATTGCTACACTAATAAAGAGTCCAGGCAAAAGCCTGAGAAAGATCACACGATATATAGTCTTGGTTGATGCTATTACCATTAGAAAAACATGTTTTCGTCATTGTAGGAATCCAAATTAGTCTCCATCATTTTCTTAAGTAACTGACCAGCCTTCTCTCGAGCTTTTGCGGATCCCCTGACTGAAATATCAGCTAGTACAGTTAAGAACTCTGGAACCCTCAAGGCATCTCTTAGGCAGCCCTCGCTTTCGTCAAACAGGCGAAGAAGAATTTCAGCTGCACCTTCTTTGCTCAACATGCACCTCCCTTTCAATACATCTACCATTGAACTAACAACCTTATCAGTCTTTTTCAAAGCATTTAATCCCTCATCAAATCTGGCAAGAAGGCCCAGAACAGCTAGTGAAGTCCCACCAAGGTCTTCACCCTCATTGCATGTTGCCACTTGGATCAACACCGGGATGGCTCCAGCCCGGACAGCTAAGGTACAGTTCCCATGAAACTGCACAAGCTCAGCTAAAGAACTAAGGAGGTGATGTGCAGCAGGACAAGAGGGTCGTGAAACTGCATTGACCAACAAAGGGATGGTGCCAGCCACCCCAAACTTGGCCTTGTTCTTATCTAGAATGGCCAAGCTACAAACCAGAGAAGAAGCAAACTTGCTAGACTCAGTGGAGCTTGGGGAGAGAATTATGGAGTTGAGAAGATAGATGGTTTCTATATCTGCAAGAGACTGCTTTAAATCAGGATTCAAAGAGAGGTTAAAGAGTATAGACAATGAGAGAGTTTGAATAATGGAAGATGAAGATTCGCAGAGGGTAAGAAGGGCAGTTATGGCTCCATCTGTTTGTGCTAGAAAGGTCCTATTTTGTGGACTGACTTTGGTAATGGAAGCCAGAGTTTGTAGAGCTTTTATCTGAACTTCATGAGAATCTGATCGTGCTTCAGATAGACATTCAGCAATGCCTTCACGAAGCCTAATTGTCGACATGGTTTAAATGAGGTGCTAAAATGCTAACAATGTTAATTTGCATAAGACCAGCAAGTAACATGATATCTATAAAGTTTAAAGTCTAGATGTTGCAGAAGACAGGACAAGAAGTAGATGGATCCGATGCTCTTCGGCATTGGAAAAACCCGTTACTCTTTGGATTATTCATTTTCAATCGGCTTCTGGGGTATTGTTTCGATAGTTTCATAGTTAAGATCTCTTTTATTTTATTTTTGTATATGAATAAAAATTAGTAAACAAGAAATATTGATTAGATTTCCTGTAAATGAACAACACAAAAGAACAAGGTACACACAGATTCCCGATCATCACCAGAGTTAACGTCTCAGTTTTGTAGATAAAATTTTCTGATAAATTAAACGCATCTATAGCATACTTCATAGGGACACTGCACTAACAATTTAACAAGATTCCTATCCCTAACGTAATCCAAATTCATTATTTATAAAATATCCTAAAAGGAGACCAACAACAACCAGATCGAAAATACTAATACCAGATATTTAATTACTAACCACAACCTCTGGCAACAACAAAGTGGAAACAACAATTTGGTAGAGTCAAGTCCGTCGTGAGAAGATGGGCTCATAAAAGACTAATACCAAAATCTCCCCAAAAACTTAGTTCACCTTTGTGAGTCAGGTGAACCATCACCATAAGAGACCAGGCCCCTTTTACCATCTGGACTTCCAGAAGATGACCTTGACCTTGCTTTGCTTGCCTGCTTTGGAGACTGAGAGTCCGACAAGGACCTTGATTCAGATCGGCTCCTGCTCCTAGAAGGGGACCTTCGCCTCCCAGCCCTTGGAGAGGCACGAGATCTGGATGCATCAACTGAAGAGCGGCTGCGAATAGGGGTTCGACTACGGCTAGGGCTATGGCTCTGGCTACGACTATATCGACGATTACGGTACCGAGGGCTAGGTGATATGGATGGACTTCGTGTCCAGCTTCTTCTGCCTCTGTACCTGCAAAGCAGATTTTTACTAGGGATCAAGGTAGCAAAATTCAAACCACCCAATAAACAGAGTTACAAGAAAATGCTTTTTTTTATTAAACACTCGCAAAAAGGGAAAAAGAAGCAGCAATAAGTGAATCAATAATGAAAAAACCCGTGATAATTGGCATAGGGCATGTCAGACCTTGGAGGAGTTCTTCCTCTTGGTGGGCTTCTATATCGCCTAGGTGAATACCTCCTGTAACTAGAATACCTAGAATTGGCAATTAAGAGCAAAACCATCCATGTTTGAAATATAATATGGTTTTCAAAAAAAAAAAAAGAACTCAGGGTGAGACAACTTAAAAAGAACCTGGTGGAATGTGTACCTCTCACGATCAATTCTGCCACCGTAACGATAGGACCTCACAGGAGAACGATCTGGAGAGGGGGTTCTGTATCTTCGTGCATAGGAGTAACGGTCACTGAAACCCCGACCCCTTCTGATGCGCTTACGTGATGCATCAGGTGAAACGCTCCTTGATAAACGTCTACCTCCATCAGAAGGAGGTGACCTTACCCTTCGTACAGGGGTGGGGCCCCTTGAATAACTATGACGATAATTCCTACTTGGTTCCCTTAATGGACTTCTGCTGATGCTTCTCCTAGGAGGAGCCCTACCAGAGCTCCTACTTATGCTTCTCTGAGAAGATCTTACAGGACTTCTGCTAATGCTTCTCCGAGAAGATCTTGCAGGACTTCTACTTACACTTCTTTTCGAAAGTCTAACAGGACTTCTGCTAATTGATTTTCTAGTTGATTTGGGTGGGCTCCTACTTAGGTTTCTTCGGGACCGGGACCTTACAGGGCTCCTACTAACACTTCTTTGAGAATGTACTCTAACTGGGCTCCTGCTGATGCTTCTACCACTCCTACCCCTCAATGGGCTTCTGCTGATGCTTCTAGCAGGGCTCCTGCTCCTACTTCTAACAGGACTCCTGCTTATACTTCTAACCGGAGAATGTGGTGGACTCCTACTCACACTTCGCCTTGGGCTAAGACTTGTGCTCCGGCTTGGACTCCTCCTAGGACTAATACTCATACTCTTACTCATGGTCCTCTTAGGACTCATGCTTCGGCTCCGGCTCCTGCTCATCAACTTTTTATAAAATACCAGATTGGGAAGAATCGGTAAGTATAAAGAAAAACTGAGTGAGAAGAATGGAAAGTAGACCTAGATTTGCTTGGGTGATCATCTACCACATCGGGCTGTCTCTCTGCACTTCTGTCAGATTTAGCATCTTCTTCAATGCCATTGCTCTGTCGCTCTCCATTTTCCTTGGGAGCTTCATGCTCCTTTACAAGCAAATCAGCCTCTTCCCTTTTTCTGTGATGAATTTCTTTCTCTACAGCTGAAGGGGATTGACTCCCAGCTGCAGAATGTAGACAATCCCATCAATACAGTGTGGTAATAAATCAAAAACCTTAAACAACACAAACAAATTATCAAAATCAAAGCCAGAAAACTGGCAAGTAGAAAACAAGACTTTTCCAAGTTCCACAACATCTCTAATATGACAGGTGAATGTGCAACAATAGCATTATGGGGGAGAAGGGAATACAAGGAAGAAGGGGGAGAGAGAATCATGTAGAATGAAGGGTATGTCATTTGGCCATGTCAATCATCCATAACAAAGCTGTTGACCTGTTTGACAGGTACATGTGAAGTAATAGCATTATTGGGGCCAAAGGGAAAAGAATAATGTAGAAAGAAGAGTACTGACAACCATGTCAAAATTTTCTAGAAAGCTTATACAAGGGAGAAGGGTGAGAGAGAATAATGTAGAATGAAGGGTATGTCATTTGGCCATGTCAATTGTCCATAACAAAGCTGTTGACCTGTTTGACAGGTACATGTGAAGTAATAGCATTATTGGGGCCAAAGGGAAAAGAATAACGTAGAAAGAAGAGTACTGACAACCATGTCAAAATTTTCTAGAAAGCTTTTAGCCAGTCAAAATGTAGGGAAACCACCCCAAGAACAAAGAAAACATTTCAATCTCAAGCAAGGGGTAAAGAAATAACAGATGCTCATTTCAAATTCAACTACAAGCAAACTATCAACCTTAAAAACAGCACAGTTAAAAAATGACCATAGCTAACCAGTCAATCAGATATTAAGATACGGAGGATAAGCCATAAAACAGAATATTGCCAGTCAACAGATGAAATAACTCCAACCCTTACTGCTTTTCTGAGAAAGGTCTCTATGCTTCTGTGTTTTTCTTGCACATCAACATCATCATCAGTGCTTCTTTCACTTTTACTCTCATTGTCATCATCTGTAAGACTATCCAAAGCCCTGATAGCAAAGAGGATAGAGCAAAAGTAAGTCCTATAAGAAATTTAATGAAACTAATCTGCTCATCAATGACTTTGAGGCATTATATCCCAATTTTGACTTACATAGAGTGAAAAAAGCTTCAGAGAAAAACACATGAGAGGGATTAATGAAACTAATAGGTGTTGACTATTACAAGGGAAAAAGCATAAGACTTTCTCAATAAATCTTCACCAAGTACATAAGAGAAACTCATGTGGAGCTACTTCAACAAGGACACATGTGACTAACTGAATTTCAAGAAAGAATGGGAAAATATGTATCTGTTTGGCAAAAAACGTGGGCATCATATTTATTGTTGATATGCATGTATATCATTGATTTACATATGCAACTCATCCAATCCCAGAAAATTTAATTCACCAAGATGCAGGTTTTGTTTTCAACAACCAACAGTTAGTACTCCAACAAGAAAAATAATTTAAAAAGGATAGAAGTAAGAAGGCATTCTTATCTAATGCATGGGAGGCAAAGGAAACACTATCAGCAGCAAACTAGATTAAACTACAACTCCAAAAGATTTGAGCTCCCTCATTCACATAGCTGAACAAGAACAATACTCAGCAAAACATGCACAAGGCTCAAGTTTATTAACTGGGAATGTGCCAGAAGACAAGACACTGGATGAACAATAGGTGGATAATAAGCATATAACCTTTTTGATCTACGCTTTGATCTCTTATCATGCCTTTTTCTCTTTTTATCATGTCGTCTGTCTCTTCTTTTGCCACGCCTATATTTTTCTCGTTTTGACGATCTCTTCCTCTTTTTACGCCTGTCATCACTCGAAGAACTAATGTCGGAGGATGATGACAGAGATGACTCAGAATCACTATCAGATTCAGATGATTCTGTCTCAGAATCTGAGGAACTCTCTGAATCAGAAGAATAATGTCTTCTTCTCTTCTTTCTTTCGTCTCTTGAAGATTTCTTATGCCTGACCTTCCTTCGCACTTCATGACAGTTAGCATCAGAAGAAGCATCTTTCCCCGTTTTCAACTTATTTTGCCTTTTCTCTGCAGATAAGATAATAAATTGGAAAGTAAATTTAGAACTCATGCAACGTAACAAAGGTGAAAATTGGAAGGTGTACCATATATTAAATCATAATATTCCATATTAAGAAATATGACCTCCAATGAGGCCATGATGACCGTTACCTTCACTGACTTCACCACAATTAATTATTTTCACTGTTACAGTTGGTATTCCTTCCTCATCACCCACATTTTCAATTTTCTTCAGCACTTTGTTTCCTTGCACAAGCTTCCCAAAAACTACATTCTTTCTGTCATATGCCACAAGTACACAAACTCAGGACCCAACACCAAATTGGGGAGGGGGGGAAAATAAAATAAATAACTACACAACGAAGATAAGAAACTACCTGTCAAGATGATGATTAGCCTTGAAGGTAATAATGAAGTGTGAACCTACAGTGTCACGATTGGTAATTGCCATTGATAAAAGTCCAGGTCCATCATGCTTTAGGCAGGGTGATTCATCTGAACAAAAGTTCATATTACCCCTTGTTACTAATCAATTATTAGTGAAAAGAATAGTAACCTTCAGCCAACTTGTAGATGAATAGTTTACAGAACAAAAATATTATGTTCTTTACCATTTAATGCAGTCCTTAAATTATTTAGCTGTCATGTCATTATGCTGGCACATGGAAATTCTTGAGGAGCAACTCCAGATGATTGAGATAAAATGCTATGGAAATGGCAGAGACAGTGCAAAACAAAACTTATGCAGAGATTAGGAGAATGCTTATTGCTCTCTCAAAAACCTTTTAGGTGAAGATAGGCTTACATCAAGAGCCATGGAATGTACTTAAATAATACAATCTTAATGCAAAGAGCTTGTGCAGAGATTAGGAGAATGTATATTTGCTCTCTCAGAAAACATTTCAGGTGCAGATACACCCAAACCTAGAGCCAAGTACTTAGATACAATTTTCTTCCTAGTACAAAGATCATTAACACCACAACATGTTGACAAATCCATATTACATGGCAACACGATTATCAATTGAAAATAAAGATTTGAGATTTTAACCACTTTGGAAGAGTGTAGAACTACATATGTTGAACACAGATAAATTAGCAGCACAATTATAAATTGAAAACAAAAATTAGAGATTTTGACCACTTAGGGAGAGTAGAAGACTACATACGTAAGCATGTCAGAATAATCTAGTTAGAATATAATTAAATTTACTTGAACTTGAAGTAATTATAAACAACAAAAGCATGTGCATAACACAAATAAAACAAGGTACAAATCATTTCCTGGAAATTATTGAATTTTAAAATACTAAAGAAAAGGAAAACCTTGCATCTTTTCTTCCTGGTTTTAAAGAAACGTAAATTATGATTGCAACCTTAGAAGATTGGGAAGAGACCACTCACCTGGAAACTTCCCGTCATAGATGCTTTCCCCACTACTTCCTAAAAAAAAAAAAAGAGAGAAAAATACATTTAAAAACTCAGATGTGGATTTCAAGAGCAATTTCAACCAGCAGTCATGTAGAGGGGAACCCTCAAAGTGACCTTATCTCATGTAAAGTCAATCATCAGCTGCAAAATTAGATTAAAAAAAAAAAGGCTCTGCGAGGAATACATACCATCTCTTCTCACAAAATCACCACCCTGCACAACACACATAAGATGTTAAGTCCACAAGTAAAGATAAAAACATTTATGTGCAAAAAACTGGGTTTGACACAGCGAAGTTTAGTAAAATTTTGAGGATTGACAACTTGGTAAGTACAACCTTAAAACTACATCACAAGAAAAGCAGTCGTGACCATCAGCCCTGTTTCCTACAGCATGAACAATAGTAACTGACCAAAAGACATACCACTTCTAAGCCACATTCAACAAGAAAACAGCTAGAAAAAAATCCCAATTTAGAGATAAAACAACAAACCTGGGCCATGGAACCTTTAATGACACGATGGAAAAAGGAACCCTTGTAGTGCAATGGTTTTCCAGTTTTAGGACCAATGCCCTTTTCTCCTGTAGGTTGAGACAGACTTAAGAAATCAGAAAAAGAAAAACATATAAATATATGAATAAATATGTGCATTTAAAGTAAACAATTACAACCTAGAAACTCTCTTGAACCTAACCACCAAATGCTTCTTCAAAAGAAAAAAAAAGATAAATCATAAACAACAAAACTTACAATGAGGAATTATTCTTAAAGATAATAACTATGGCAGAGTGAAATCCCTTACATGAATGTGATGTAAAAAGAAAAACATCATCAAATGGGAAATAAAAATATTGCAAAGAATTTTTTTTAATCACCTGTACAAAGGGCACGGAAATTTTCTGCAGTCTTGGGAGCAATATCAGGAAAGAGCTGAAGAATGGAAGAAAACCAATAAATGCATGCCAAAAGATAATCTTAAATAAAAACCAAATGTATAGGAATTCAAAATAAAAATAAAGAGGCAAACAACAAGACAAAGAAATGTATACTCTTATTGGCTTGCTTTTTTCGTTCATTAAAATACCTCAAAAATCATCCTTTCAACAGGATCACCATCTATCGACACGTCCATAAAAACTAAAGGATTCTTCTTCTTTGCCATCTTTGTTCACCAGAATCACAACTCAAGCCAGCATAGCCAACAATCTGATCAAACAACAAAAGCTAGAATCAGCAGATTCAAAAGGATTTGAGCTCACATCAAATTAATTTCAGTAAAAAAAAACCGTACAACAACTCCATCTCCCAAACTCACAAGTCTACATTAAAGCATATAGTAAAGCAGAAGGGCATATAAAAATCATTTCTCTCATGTCAATCTACCGTTTTAAAACATTAGTCACTAAATCATGATTTTGCAAAACATGGATTGAATAAAAATTATTTTCCCATATATAGTATTTGGCAAAATTTCCTCTGTAAATCATTTCTCTTGTGTCAACCTACTGTTTATAAAAACATAGTCACTAAATCAGGATTTTGCAAATAATGGAACGTATAAAAATTATTTTTTCATGTATAATATTTAGCGAGGTTGGGTGAAAGCAAATGCAGAGCATTGCAGGTACCTAGGATACTTGGCAAATATTCCCTTTGGCCTATTTCTACCTTGTTCAAATCATCCTAGCATTTCAAACATACTGAGAGCAGAAAGCAAGCAAACGTGAAGAAAATCAGGTTAACAGATCCAAAAACAAAAGCAAATACATAATGAAAATAGTGAATGATTGCACTGGATCAACATCCAATATCAGCAAAGAAAAGCACAGGCCATTACAAACAAACGCAATCCGAAAAAAGAGAGCAACATAATATAAAAACAAAATCAAGCTGAAAACCTTAAACCCTAGCTGAATTAGTAGAAACACTTAAAACTACAAGCTTATGATAATCAAAATCTCAAACTTAAAGTTCAAAGCATGGAAATCATACAAAACTAAATATACATAAACATTTAAGGAAAAATTAATTACAAAGGTTTTGGATCAGATGTAAGTGATATTGAGATTAAAAGAGAAATTAAATTGATTTTAGAAAAAAAGAAAAAGGGAAATGAAACAATTGAAGAGAAAGTGAGAAACGAAGAAACCCTAAGAATTTTACCTGAGAAATGCAGAACCACAGAAAAATGTGAGTGACGATTATAGGAGAGAAAACGAAGTGACTGAAAATCGAAATGCAAAAACCTAGTGGGCTTTTTCCCTCATAAAAAGCCCTTCGGCCTCTTTTATAGAACCCAGATGACTGTATGATTGAGGCATGTTTTATAATGGGCTACAACCGGGGATCAGTAATGGATGACTATGAGCCCATTTATATTTCGGGTCAGGCAGCCCATACTTTTTTATGTTTTAATATGGAGCGCAGATTTCTTTTTATACGTGGTATTAAATAGTTTTAATATATTAATAAAAAAATAAAAAAATGAAGATATCTTAAATTGAAAATTTTTGTAAGGGCAATATGAATGGAATTGGATTGATTGAGAAAAAATTAGAAAAAAAAAAAAAAGAAACAAAAGAAAATTTTGAGTTTAATAAGTTTAAAATGGCAAAAAAACAAAAAAACAAAAACAAAAGAGGTTTAAGCAAAAACGACGCTGTTTACTACATGTTGAAACGCAGCCGTTTCAGGCGTTGATGGGAAGCTGAAAAAAAAAAGGCCAACAACAACAGCGGCGGCGTTTGAGGAAGAAGGAAAAAGAAATGGCGGACAGCATATGCAAAGCGACGGAGGAGCCATGGAGAGTATTAGAATTCTACAGCGGCATTGGCGGCATGGTTCGTACCTCTTCAAAACCTCCCAAAACCCTAAAACTAATCTCTTTTTTTGTGAAGTAGCACTTGATTGGTGCGAGTGAGATTTTTTTTGCTACTGTTTTAGAGGTATTCTCTAATGAAAGCTGGTATAAACGCTCAAGTAGTCGAAGCCTTCGATATCAACGATAAAGCTAATGATGTCTACGAGCACAACTTCGGTCACCGCCCTTATCAGGTTCCCTCTGATGGTTTTTCTTGAATGATTTTATATATTTATGAATCATGGTTTTTGCTTGGAAATACCCTTGTTCTATATATATATATATATATATATATATATATCGATCCAGTCTACTTGTTTAGTGTATTTGTTTAGGGGTAGTCTGAATTGAGGAAAAGATGAGAGAAGGCCATGTAAGGCCGTTTGAGATAGTTTGGACATGTGAAATGTAGGTGTATCTGTGCACTAATTAGGAGAAATGAGCTTCTAGATTTTGGAGAGACAAAAACTAACTATGTAAGACGTGAATGCAAGTAATAAGAAATGATTAGGGGGTTAAGAAAGTAGATGAAAAGGTTGTTTATGATAGAAATGGGTAGTGCAAGATGATTCAAAACTATGACCTAACATGATTCCTATTTTTTGGCCTTTCCTACAGCCAACCTTGGAGTTATGGGATGTAAGTCCGAGTTTGTTTTTGTTATTTGTCTTTATACTGTGTTCTGGTTATAATTGAGTGTAAATTTTCATTTTCGGTTTCAGTTTCTATGCTTTGGTGTTAGGCTGTGAAACAACGAAAGTTCCTAATTCTTTCCATTTTTATGTTTTTTCAATCATTTAACAGGGAAATATTCAGAGCCTAACGAATGATGATCTCGACAGCTGTCGAGCACATGTATGGCTTCTTTCCCCTCCTTGCCAGCCCTACACTAGACAAGGTGAAGCTTCCTGGTGTTGCTTATTACACTTTAAATAGCTTATCTGATTAGTTGATGAATAGCTCTGTGAATATGGGAAAACGCTTTAATTCTTTTGTTAGGTCTCCAAAAACACTCTGCTGATGCTCGGGCATTTTCATTTCTTAATATTCTTGAACTTATACCGTGCATGTCAAAACCTCCAGATATGTTATTTGTAGAAAATGTTGTTGGATTCGAGGTATGTTTCTTGAGAATATGTTTGCAACACAATCCATATTTGTAATTTGAGGTTTTATACTTCTCATCTCTCTTTCTCTGTGTTGAAATGTTGCAGACTTCAGATACTCATGCAAAAATGGTTGAAATATTGGCAAAATCTGATTTTGTTACGCAGGAGTTTATTTTGAGCCCAATTCAATTTGGTGTTCCATATTCTAGACCACGTTATTTTTGCCTGGTTCTTTCTCTCTCTCTCTAATATTTAGAATATTCTATCAATTATTTAATACCTTAGGTTTTCGGAAATATCAGCAATGACACAATTCAACAAACAAATTCAGTTCACTGTGACTCATGGTTGACCTTAACAAATTCAGTTCACTGTGACTCATAGTTGACCTTAATTCAGTATTTCAGTTATCCTTATATTGTGCCAATTTGTTCATAACTTGAATATTCCTGCATATAAGTATGCAAGTGTGCTTAGATCTGAGACCTATGTCAAGTAGTTTGAGAAAACTTTGATATTGCTATAACTTTGTGTGGTTTTCTGTTAAAGTTCGGATAGTGATCTCCCTTAATGCTGTTCCATTTTATAGTTGCTAGAAACTTGTTGTGTTTTGTATCTTGGAAAATTGAGAAGGCATTAGGTTCCTTTTATCTTTTTCTTTCTTTCTAGTCTAGGTGTGATGAGGTTTTAAATTTTAACTTTCAAGAATTTAGTGTAATTTGTGGTTTACTTGTGTAGGCAAAAAGAAGGCCTTTATCTTTTCAGTGCCAACTGTTCAATAACCAGCTTCTTGGGTCTCCAAGCCCGTTATTTGGTAATGATGAGAAGATGGTGATTGGTGAACATGATCAGTCACAAGAGAACTGGGATAAGTTGATCGAGTCTTGCCAGCCAATAGAGAAGTTTCTTGAATTTACATCTTCAAGCTATCAAATAGACATGGAGACCAGTTCTTTAGTGACCACTGATGTTTTTGCAAATGGTTTGGAAACTTCGGAGAAATTTGTTGAAGAAGATGTATTCGATTTCAGTTCTATAGATCAGTTTGTAGTTCCCTTAAGTCTAATAGAGAGGTGGGGAAGTGCTATGGGTATCTTTACATTATTGTTTAATTTTTATTGATGCCCACTTCTATTTTAATGTATTTACAAATTCTTTTTGCTTAAAGTAATCCTTAATGAAGTTTAGATATTGTCTACCCGGATTCGAAACGATGCTGTTGTTTTACAAAAAGCTATTATCGATATGTGAAAGGCACTGGCTCCTTCTTGGCAACAGTCCAGGTGCAGTTTCCTTCTTAGGATGCTGATGTCTGTGTCTGTATACTTAAAGTTGAGGCTATAGGTCCAGCTTATTAGATGATTCAAAGCTCGTATTTAACTGCTTTATATACTTCTAAATATTCCAATGTTATTAGCAGACTAAACAATTGTAGACAGTAGGGCAGTTTCTTATCTTATTCATTATAAGTGTTAAGCCTTTCCTATTTTTTACTGTCTTAACATTATATTGTTGTTGCCCCTTTTTTGATATGACATGTTTGAATGGTCAATGTGCAGCCAAAGAAAAAGGGGAAAGCATCTTCCTTAAAGGAGCAGTGCCTTAGATATTTTACTCCTAGGGAGGTATGTGTGCCTTGATGCATCTATTGATTCCATGGTTTTCTGTCCTTATTTATACGCAATTTTACAAATTCTAACAGGTTTTCTTTGGCAATGATTAGGTTGCGAATTTGCATTCTTTTCCAGAGGATTTTCAGTTCCCACAGCACATAAGCCTTAGACAGCGGTATGATGTTTTCCTTGAGGAATGTCCCCCCCCCCCCCCCAATGGAGTTGGATTTTACCATATTAAACTATTTAAGGATGTAGCTATGGACGTTGCATGCACTGTTTTAGCAATATTGGAGTTATCTGGATCATTCTTTTTTTGATGCAGTTATGCAATGCTGGGAAATAGTCTGAGTGTAGCTGTTGTTGCTCCCTTACTCCAGTATCTATTTTCCCAACCATCATGATTTTAAGCTCAAGAGTTCCATTCACAAGATGCAAGTCTTTTTGCTTCTCCAGACACATAACCTTTGCCCATTTTTCCATGCAAGGGTGAGTCTTTGAAGTTCTTAAACCAGGGCATTGGGGCTCTACTCAGATCCAGTCTGAAAACCTTGGTAGCTGATGACCCAGTGGTTGCTTCTTGTATCAAATATGTTCCCCTAGCGCATTTATTCGATAAGTTAACAGAGGGAATATTGCCCAATAGGATGTGGAAATTGTATTATACCTATCATATCTAGAGTGATAAATACTTTTGTATCTTGTTTTATTTTTAGAATGATTTAGGCTTTAATAGGATCATAGATAAATCTACAACTTGACGTTGCATGTCAACAACACCTTTGGGTAATGGGACTGGGAGTTTTCAAACAGGAAAAGTGATACACTTACTCTTTGGCAAAATGATCTCAACTGTTATATCTCCCACCTTTCAAGTTATATCAACAGGTCTTGGATTTTTCTTGACAAGGTTTTGAATAAAATCCAAAAGCCTTGATCCGGCAACAATTGAAGGTAAATTCCATAAAACCACAGCAACAAAAACAAAAAGAAACAAACTATTATTTGGGTCCATTTTTAATGAACATGTTTCACATAGGTGGTTTTCCTCATCTAAAAGCCAACCCATACGTGAACCCAAATTTAGAAACGAGCCCAGCTCAATCCATAGTTTCTGTGTTTCCCCCTTGTTCGTCTCTTCCCATTCAAAATCCGGGTTTAAACGTTAAAAGGGTTTTCAGTTTTGACATAAGTTCTGTCTCTCTTCTCTGCTGATCAAAGGAAAAAGTCACAGCAAAATGAAGTCTTCATTGAAAAATTCTTCATTAATGCCAACTTTCCTTCTCCGTTCTTTTCCAAGTCCCAAATATGTCTGCTCTCAGCCTCAAGCACCAATTCCCCAGAATCCCAATCCCAACACCAAATTTCAGGAGAAAATCACCTCAGACTCACACTTTCCCAGTAAACCCATTTCAGATTCCAATTTTCCCAGAAAACTGATTCTCCTCCATTCCAAGGACCCTAATTCAACATTATCCTTGACACAACATACAAGCTTGAACCAAACCCATGTGATAAATACTCTTCTGCGCCACAAAAACTATCCGGAATCGGCTTTGAAGTACTTCCTTTCTGTGGAAAAGAAGCTGGCTTCTGTCCAGAGTATCGATGTCTTTTGCGTCATGCTTCACATTTTGGTAGGATCCCCACAGACTTATAAACGAGTTCAATATTTGCTTAATAATAGATTTGTTTCAGGCGATTTAGGACCTGCCCCTGTTGTGTTTTTAGATCACTTGATTGATACCAGAAAAAGGTTTGATTTTGAGTTGGATTCACGAGTTTTTAATTACTTGTTGAATAGTTATGCTAGAGTTAATAGGATCAATGATGCTGTGGATTGTTTTAATGGAATGATTGACCGTGATATAGTTCCTTGGATACCTTTTATGAATATTCTTTTAACAACATTGGTTAGGACGAATTTGACGGATAAAGCTAGGGAGTGTTATGATAAGATGGTTTCCATGGGAGTTAGAGGTGATTGTTTTACAGTTAAGGTGATGATGCGTGCTTTTCTGAAAGAAGGGAAGCCTTGGGAAGCGGAGGAGTTTTTCAGGGAGGCTAAGGCTAGAGGGACGGAACTTGATGGTGCAGTTTATAGTGTTGTTATTCAGGCTGCTTGTCAGAAACCTGATTTGAATATGGCTAGTGAGTTATTGAGGGAAATGAGGGATAGGGGATGGGTTCCTTCTGAGGGTACGTTTACAATTGTTATTGGGGCTTTTCTGAAGCAGGGAAATTTGGCAGAGGCGTTGAGGCTCAAGGATGAGATGTTGAGTTGTGGGAGCCCGTTGAATTTGGTGGTTGCTACTAGTTTAATGAAGGGATATTGCAAGCAACGTGATATTGATAGTGCTTTCGATTTGTTTAATAAGATTAAGGAGGATGGGCTTACTCCTGAAGAGGTTACCTATACAGTTTTGATTGAATGGTGTTGTAGGAATCGGAATGTGAAAAAAGCGTATGAGCTTTATGCAGAAATGAAACTCATGGATATTCAACCTACTATTTTTAATGTGAATTCCTTGATTCGTGGATTCTTAGAAACTTGCTCACTGAAAGATGCAACTAATTTGTTTGATGAGGCAGCTGAGTCTGGCATTGCCAATGTTTTTACGTATAATATTTTCTTATACCATTTCTGTAAAGATGGTAAGCTGAATGAAGCTTGCAGTTTATGGCAGAGAATGGTGGGTAATGGCCTTGTACCTAGTATTGTTTCTTACAATCACATGATACTTGCCTACTGTAGAGCAGGGAGTATGGATATGGCACATAATGTATTTTCAGAGATGCTTGAACGGGGCTTTAAACCTAATGTCATCACATATTCTACATTAATGGATGGGCATTTCAGCAAAGGTGATGCTGAACAGGCCTTAGGTGTGTTTGATGAAATGGTGGGTGTGCATATTGCCCCCTCAGACTTCACATTCAACATAATCATTAATGGTTTGAGCAAAGTTGGTCATACATCTGAGGCGAGGGATATGTTGAAGACGTTTGTTGATAAGGGTTTTATCCCTATATGTATGACATACAATAGCATTATTAATGGGCTTGTCAAGGGTGGTGCCATGAACTCTGCCCTGGGAGTTTATAGAGAAATGTGTGAAAGTGGAATTTCTCCCAATGTTGTCACCTATACCACCTTGGTGAATGGATTTTGCAAAAGCAATAACATGGATCTTGCTCTGAAAATGCATTATGAGATGAAAAGCAAGGGTCTTCAATTGGATGTTCCTGCATTCAGTGCCCTCATTGATGGGTTCTGCAAGAAGCGGGACATGGTCAGAGCATGTGAGCTTTTCTCTGAACTCCAACAATTTGGGTTATCTCCAAATAAAATTGTTTATAGCAGCATGATTAGTGGGTTTAGGAATGTAAATAATATGGAAGCAGCTAATGACTTGCAGAAGAAAATGATAAAGGAGGGAATTCCTTGTGATCTACAAATATACACTACACTAATTGATGGATTTTTGAGAGAAGGTAAATTACTCTCTGCATCTGATCTTTACTCAGAAATGCTTGCGAAGGGGATTGTACCTGATTTAGTCACTTATACTGTTCTGTTAAATGGTCTTTGTAAGAAAGGACAGCTTGAGAATGCTTACAATATTTTAGATGAGATGAATAGAAAGGGTATTACTCCGAACGTTCTTATATATAATGCTTTGATTGCTCGACACTTTAAGGAAGGGAATTTAGAAGAGGCTTTGAGATTGCACAATGAAATGCTTGATAGAGGTCTTGTACCTGATGACACTACTTATGACATACTTGTAAATGGAAAGGCTAAAGCTGAAAGTTCTCTTTCTGGAGTTTCATGCGCCTAAACAGCCAACAAATAACTGCTTCAAAGAGTTTCATGCTTCAATCCATCCTGCAAAGTATTGAAAAATAGCTGCTAGATGCAAAGAGGCAAGGCATGTTGGACTGCCAGTTGAGAATGCGGAGAGAAAGTTACCTTTGGTTTCAGGTAGCTATAAAATGCATGACAATGTGGGGACTTTGGGCTGGCTGGAGATGCAATTGAAGTTATCAATGTAATTTGGATTTTGCAGTAGGTTCTTGTATGGCTGCATAAACCTCCCAGGTTGTCTCAGGGTCATTTGGGATCTATACAACAGGCAGCAATCTTCCGATGATTTGATAGTAATTCCATCTCCTTGCATGTTTCATATAAGTTATGCATTGAAAGTGATTTATGATTCCATATGCTTCTGCGTTGTTTTTGGAGTCAATAAATTTTGTGCATTCCAGGTTCATCTTCTTTCCTTTGGTTGGTTTGTGTTAACCATGCAGTGATATAAAATTTTACATAGATTTTAAAGTTAATGAAAACAATCAGGCAGCTTATTGCAAATTTTAAACCAGGGAGAAAAGATTACGGATGAAAAGGAATTAAATAAGTATTGATTTGGTAGGGAAAGGTGATGGCAACATAGATCTGAATTGTTTCATCAACAGCCCTGAAGCATGTCGATCATTCAATAGCTTCACATCATCAACGACAGGTCTTGGATAAGAGTTAAAAAATGACATTAAATAAATTTAAAGATCAAATCCCAATACTTATATCCATTTTTATCATCCTTAAAATACAATCTTCTTTATACAACAAAAAAAAAATTGTCAATGAGAGTAAAGAGTGATAATGCAGCAAAAATTGCCACTTGCATTGCTTTTACTAAATTCAACAAAAAAACCAATGCATTAAGTACATTTTTTTTAAATATCATCGTTATAACTAGACACAAATTAACATTTTTCAAAGACTGAATCCAAAAGACAAGGAGGAGGATGGTTTATTATTACAAGAGCAGTGCTGCATTATAAGCATGGGCTGCATGGAATTACATGGAAATGTCCATGGGAAGAAAATATTTCTTCATGGCTAGAGATGTTTTAAGAAATGGAGATAGAGATGACGGGGACACAAAAGCTTGAAGACACAAACCACCCATTTTCACATGGCGGTTTGGAGAACAAGCTCTATCTAGTTTTCTCCTTATCACCAATTATTGAAACATATTTAACTTACATGGAAGCCCTTTAGATAATAAGGCCGTTTATTTTAGAATTGCTAGCATTCAAGCATAAAATGCAGTTCACAGTTTTACATCTTATTGGGACATTGCAAACAGACTACACCCAAGCATTGATTCCATTCGAAAACTAACACCAATCATTGCATAACCAACCAACTAGGAAAGGCAAAATTCACGTTCACTGCTGCTAACAAAGCATGATAAGACATACAATTCATTTGAAGACAAATTTCAACAGCGGCAGCTATAAGAGACTCTGAAAGCCTCAAGGAATGGTTCGCTGATAAAGAGGTAGAGCTCCCAAAGCTTCACGCTCTGCTCTCTCCTTCTTCACCTACAAGATACAACCAAAAAAGAGCATAAGCTATACTCCAACTCTATCCACTCATTTCACATGAAATTTCAAGTCTTGCTTCTATCAAACATAAACAACATACTAGCTTAAAAATTCTAATACTTTATCATAAATAAAGTGAAACATAAACACAAAATGTGTCAGCAAAATATGATTGATAAACAATATGACATGTACATGAAACAAGTAGCATTTAGCAGAGCAAACTAGAAGCTTTCAACTATATAAACTTCCTCTTGATTGGTAAACATTGCAACAATTCAATCATATAAATTTCCTCACAAAACAGGAAATTAAGCAACACAGAATTTAATAACTAAGAATCTAGCAGTTTGACATGGAAATGAACAATCAGAACCATCCATCTTAAGTTCAAGAACAACTTCAAATAAAGCTGGCAACAATACAAGATCTGAATTTGTTGAAATCTGAATTTGGGCCCTTTATCATTTCAATTCAGCTGCTTTAATCCCTTTATCCCAATTTTAATGAAGTATCCTCCACTTTTATTAAAAGTCGATTTAAGGATAATTGATAACAGTACTGAAGCTGTCAATAATTTCAGCCACATGGTCTTTTTGTTAATGACATAATCCAAAAGAATGCAAATCAAAATCCAAGTCAATTAATCAACAGAACTTTATTATTGGAGAACTTACCAGAGCAAGCATATCTTGAAGATAGCTCCTAAATGGTGTCTGCATTTTCTGCAAAAAACAATAAAATCCAATACATTATGAGACCTCAAAGCACAGTCATGACACGGGGATGCATGTTCAATCAAAAACAGTGATTAGCTAATGCTATTTTTCTCCATGCCCTTTCTTCCTACATAATGAAAAGTGCGGCAAACATACATGGATTAAACTTATAAACACAATCAAACATTGAAACTAATGTCAACAAAAATAGACATTGGTTAATCATATGGATAAAAATTATGAAATATTAGTTTGTCACTCCACATCCACTTTGTTCAATAGCCTTGGAGGGATTGAGCTTTATATGTAAAAAAGAGTTTCATCCCGACTTTGATACTTCGATTCTAATAATTTACAATAATTTAGGCTTCTGTACCCAATGGTGTTACCTAAGGATTTAGGAAGCAAAAATCAAGTAATAACTGCGGCAACAAATCACAGAAAAGAAATCAAGAGAATTATTCAACCTAAGTTATATCCCAATATAAGACTATATCATACAAACAATATCAACTTTTTTTTTAAATTAAAAAATGCTTAAATACCAATGGCATATAAATTTAAAAGGATTTATAATAGGATTCATTCGAGGTTTCTGACATTTAATAGCAAATATTATTCAAAATTACAGAAAACAAAAATAAAATCCCCCAAATAAAATACTCAAATAAAAGAGAGAAGAGTAAACCTGAAGATCTTCGGTGAGATACTTGTGCTTCAAGGAGAGGTCCAATGCACGCTTAAGGCGTTGGTTACGAGCATCGACGATCTCACGGGGCAGCCGATTCAGCGCCTCCTTGATATCCAGATCGTAGAGAGGATCGTATAGATCGTCGTAGCGAAGGCCTAAACGAGTTATCCAATAAGTTTAATTGGAATAAAGCAGACGAAGAAATTAGGGTTAGGGTTTTGGGGAAAATCGTACCGTATCTGCGGAGGCGTTTGGAAAGGGATTTCATGTGCATAGCTGCCAACCAGCTCTTCTTCGGATCCAGAAATGACTGCAAAAACGACGACATTTTGACTACTCTTTCTTTCTCTCTATCTCCTCAGCCAAGTTCCGAACCTGTCTCTGGTTTAATTTTGTTACTGGAAGAAGGGTCTGTTTGTCGACCGCAACGTGGCAATATATCGACCAGTAAGGTCATGAGATATTGAACAATAATAAATTTTTATAAAAGAAAAAAAAATTAAAGCAAGCTAACAAATAAATTTATTTCAAAAAATTAAAAAATAAACTAAATATATATATTTTTTACTATTACTGAACGTAAAACCTTGCTAATTATAAAATCTATCCTTTTATTTTGATTACAAAAGTCTATTTTAGATATAAATTTGATTTTTTATTAATTTTAACAAAAATATTAAAAATTCTATCTAAATTTTATCCCTCCTCGCAAAATCATATAAAAGCAGCTTATGGAGATATATTATTGGCCTAGAAATTATGGACTAACCTTTTTTATTAATATTTTATTAAAAATTTATGTACCGCTATGTCACAACAATTTACTTACCTACACTATTAAATGTTTAACATAAAATTAATTAGTAATAAGTATAAATGTTTAATTTGAATATAAAATTATAAAAAATTAAATATTATTATATGTAAAGTAATATTATTTTAATAAATTTTATCATATATAAACGAAAATAAAAAAAAATTTATCATATGACAAATTTAAAAATAACATCAATTTAGAGATCAATCTAAACATAAATTTATAAAATATTAAATATTTATTAAATATAAAATAATATCACTTTAACACGTAATCACCCTTACAACCACTCACAGCCACGGGATATGGTGATCTGCATCCGGTGAACGCAAAGGAGTTGACGTTTGACATATTCTAAATACTCTTTAATCTTGGACTGCAAATGTACTTGGTTGACAGTGATTTCAGGTCATCCCACAAGACTTTGGCATTGTAACACTTTCCCATTTCTTCCATATACTATCATTGTTGTTTGAAGTGATTTCTTGTGATGAAGCTGTGCTTGTTAATTCAGATTCTTGTTTTTTAAATTACTAAAGATAGTTCTAAAAGTGGCATAAAAATACCAATGAACTGTTAGTTTAATGATATTAAAGTTGGCTTAATCAAGATTGAAGATCTCGAGTTCGAGTCTGTTAGCTCAAAAGACAAAAGATGGTGCAAAATGCAAGCAAAAATTATGGTTCAAATCAAGAGGGGTGGTAGTAGGGTAGGGAAGAGATACAGGTTCATGGATGAGGATGATTTACGTTTCAGATATGGAGATGACAGAAACTATAGAAGTGGCATTTTTGATGAAACGGGTCATTCTGAAAGTTCTAGCAGAAGTAAAGATGAGGAGGAAATCATTGCAGGAATGTCTGCCACAAGGCCAAATGCCATCGTCAGGACAACAAAAATTAGGACTGTCAGCCTCAGCTCTTTGATATCTCTATAGCAAAGCAAGATGGACAAATGCATCTCAATACAGTGTCTGGCATACTTGGAGACTTCAGTATTCATACGGCTATGACATTTTGATCTTCAAAAGTAATATAAAAATTTGTTAAAAACATAACATACCCGTGTCCGACACCTTATCCGGAGTCTTTGTAACATAGATAAAACATGAAGGAATCAAAATATTGCAAATAGAGATCAACAAGTAAATCTATATTCATGATTCACAAATTTTAACATGAAAAGTACTGTATCCTCTCATCTACTTAGCAATGAAATGACCATGACCCTCGTCTCCTTTCCCCCACCTCAGTCACTTCTCCCTTGGCCAAAAAGAAGAAAAGAAAAAAAAAAAAGCAATGATTGAAGGGCTATAGGACCTAAATCCTCACTGTTAATATTCTAGCAGATATGCCTAATTTTTAAGGATTAACCAATAGAAAAACAAAGAAAGAAAGGGGGAAATGACTGTTCAATGCTTCCTTTCCTCCATTTCTTCATGCGTAAGTGTTGAATTTTTTTTTTCCTCTGTTTCAGCTTTTTTTGGTAATTAACCGGCTATACAAAAGGCAACATTCTTGGACATTCTTCCCTTATGATAATGATTCTTTCTTCAATCAGGCAGAGGATTACGATTACGAATTAGTAATCCTTATCATAGCAGGCTCATGGTACGCTAAATATTACTGTTGCTCTTGATGATTTCTGCATTTTCTTGTGGATGAACCTGTCAACCATGCCATATTCAAGCATAAGGATGAATAACTATAATCTGGTGATAAAACAGCAAACTACAAAATGTAAGTATAAAGATATACCTGATATAATCTTTCTTCCTTAAAGCTTACGGTTCTAAGCTTCAACTCTCCTCTGTTCGTTGTCATTTCATCCAATAACTCAGCATCATAAAAGTCTTCAGTCCCTTCACTGAGAGAATCAGGTGGTTGCCTTTCCTGTTTAAACATTATCATGTCTATGAATCAAAGCACATATGGCGAAGAAAGAAGCATAACATCACTAAAATCAAAGGAACATCTATATCTTGAACAGGGCTAGAGCACAACAAGAAGATTGTATCATTTACGCTGAAACACAAATGAAGATTCAATTATGGAGAGGTAAATCTTTCCATAAGTCCATTTGACAGGTGGAAACCAAACATTAATTTCCCCACAGGATTAAAAAGCATAAAATTCTGTCAACATAGCTGAAAAGCTATGCCAGGAATGAAAAAAAAGAAAAGAAAAGAAGTTACCAAGCAGTCAAACTGCCTCGTTATTACTGTAATTACTACTACCAGAAGAAAATATTGGTCTGGTTCTAAAACAGCAAGTTACGGGGGGACCAAAAAATGTACCTTGAGTGTTATACTTAAGTTTCTTCGTGGTGTACCAGCAATTTCTTCATACTCAGCAGCATCAAGTTCCCGAAGATGTTCATGATGGAAAAGCTTTGGAAGGATGTGCTGTCTGATGCTGATGAGGAGGAAGAACGGCAGTGGAAACAGTATTCCAGCTATAGGTATCCATGTCATCCCGAAACATACCAGAAGATAAACAAATTGGAAGAGTGTAAACATCAAAATGGCCTTGAAAGGTACAGTCTCCACAAATGATGCGTGAACACCTTCGAGGACTCTGTTCAAAGATATAAGATGCGAAACCACATGAACCATCACATTCAGCTTGTTATCAAAGTTAAACTACAGCTTCTACACAATATATTGGTGTATCACCCCTTTAACACACTTAAAAGATTTCTAGGCTGCATTTATAGGACTTCACTGCTACTGAATTACTGTGGATATGGTACTAAATATAGAATAAGGACACAATATGATCAGTACAGCCAACCCCATTCAGTAGGGAAAGGCTTAATTTGTTGTAGTTCAGAAAAGAAAGTAGATTAGTTCCCTTTCCTGCAAGATAGTCTACTTAGTTGCAATTGAAAGAAATTGAAAATTTTTTAAATTTAGGAAAATTCCCAAACCTCCATAAAGAAATTAGATAAATCATCGAATATCTTTTCATAAAATGCCTCTATTGTATTTAAGGTTATTTTAAGGTACATTGACTTACTTGTAACGTCTGCTAGGGGTGATGAAGAGTAGCAACACCCTTTCCCAGAACTGGTTCCCTGGGAGGCTGTCAATGGCCATGTAGGCAAAGTATCCCCACAGTACGGAGGTGGGTATCTTTTTTAGTACAGGCAGAAGACACATGGAAAGTCCCACCAGGAATGACTGCAACAGGTTGCTCATTCTTTGTTCATTAACTCTAACGGGCAAATAAGCATCAATATGTTTCTCAGGATCAAAGTTTTCTTTTGCATCCTCCCCACCGTCACCTTTCATTACAGCCTCTTTCAAGTTCTTCAACTCTTTATCTACTGAAGTGGTCTGCAATAACATCCACATTATGCTCTAGTGAGTCTTGCAATTAATCAAATATGCCTGCATGTACGTAGGATTTCTGATTTGTATCAGCAGTATTACAAATCTAAAGTACTTACAGCAGGAGATGCATCCATTTCTATGAACACAGCTTGCATCCTTCCATAGATCTCTGAGTTGCTTGCTTGTTGCAACATGCCCTCCTTGGCACTTTTTACCATTTTTTTCCGAATCAGCTGCAATTGATGGATTATATAGTCTAAGAATCCACATTGGTGGGAATCATATAGCAATCAAGGGAATAGTTTCTAAAATTACTACACCCCACCTGCCTCTTGAGAACAGCAAGGCTCTTAGTGTGCATGGGAGATTGTGGAAGGACCCCATTTGAAGGAGGGAGTCCCAGCAAACCACAAATCAAAGTCTGAAACCATGATTGACGAGAAGCATTAAAGCCTGAAATTAGTAGGAAATATAGATTTGGAAATATAAACTTGTAAAAAGAAAGGGGAGGGGGGCGAGGACAGAGAGAGAGTAGGTCGGAAGCATCAGTTAAGTACCATAAGTCCTAGCAACAAGATATCATAATGGTAAGCAGAGGGATTTTTAAGGTTAAACTCCTTTTGTTGGGCCATCTGTGAAGCGACACTGTGATCGAAGAAGTATAGACCTGCTATCATCAGTGCTGGTATAAAGGCAGCAAAGATGTATGCTATTGGAATCTTTCCCATATCCTGTAATAAGAGATATCATTAAGAACAAAATTATCTGTAGTCTCATCTAATTAGAAAAACTGGGTATGCACCGAACAAATACTCTATAAGATACCAACAAACATTAGATCAATGGAAAGGGAACAAATAAAATAATGATTCACAACTTACCTTTATCACTGTCCAATGATGTAATGATTCAGGTTCCCATAGAAGTGGACAGAACAGCCTCCTGGGAACTCCAGATTCAACTTTGCCAGGTATCGTGTAAGACAATGCTGTCCAACACAAGACCATAAGGGGAACCCCATAGTCTGCAAGAAAACCTCGAAGCCAACCTGAAAGCAGAGAAAATAAACTAGGTCCATTCAGAATATCTAGGAAAATATCAAATCAGTCAATCCCTGTTAGTAGGTTGATGTACCTGTTCCGTAACGCCATGATCTTGCCTTTCGGGTCTTTAAGGCAGTGAATAGAAGCCCAAATGAGAAAATGACTGCCAGCAACCCATTTGTATATAGCCAGGGGAACTGATATTTCTCCAACTTAGGATCTTCACCTTTGGGAATACCGAATTCACTGACCACTCCCTACGATCCAAACATTATCATTATCAGGGTCAAACCACATGATTCTGTCATCATAAACCTCACACTTTCTTTGTTGCTTAAGTCATTCAATACCTTAATAGCCTCTTGAAGGAAAAGAATAGTTATCAACATGCCAAAAAGCTCTCCTGCAATTCTTGTAAATCTGGTGATTATGGTGCATGCATTGAATATAGCAAGAAGAATGAGCAGCAGAGCTGTCCATACACAGACCCTAGGAAAGAAAACAAAAGGAATGAAATTAAAAAATAAGAACATTCCTGCTGAATCAAGAAGATTCAAAAACATTAAATAATAATCATAAAATTACAATAAAAAAAAAAAAGAAGAGGGAATTATATCCATTACCATGCAGTCCACGCCAAAAATAGTTCCTGGCCCAACTCTGGCCTTTTTTTGCTGAAATTGTACAAATAAGTGTACATTATAACTGTTGGCTCTGCAACACCTACTATCAATAAAGGCTGCCCACCTAAAATGGAGTGAATGATTCCACAAATAGCTGTGGAAGCCAATGTTTCCACTGCACTGAGGGCACCATCTGAAACAAGTAAAACACAGTCTTCAGGATTACCATGAAAAGCCATAAACTCAAGAAAAAAGAGGATAATTGAGTTCTGGCACTTATATCCGGCATTAATATTCTTTGACATAAGATGATTTGCACTAAAGTAGCTTCATCCTAGATCATGCTGGCTTTTAAACATTCTCATTTTAAGGAGACAAACAAATGCAGTACCTGTATCTCGACTCAATTGCTCTCCAAAGGCAATAACAGGAAGAGCAGAAGCAAAGAAGATATAGGCAGTCGGAGCTAATATCCTGACAGAATTAAAAATTGAAATGTGAATCAAAATGGAAAAATCTCCATCAGAGGAACATAACGTAGCACCGAAAATATCAAAACAAAGAACATACCGAAAGCCTGAGCAAAGTCCACTGACCCAATCTTGCTTGTAGCACGCACTTCTTCCCTTGATGTCTTTGATTATCCCCTTGAATGGACTTCTGATGTTTCCCATAACTGATTCAATAGAAAAAAAAATGTTTTTACATAAATCTTATAATCTACAATGACAGCAGCTGCTGTATCCAAAACATCCTCTTAATCACAGTGCGAAGTGTAAAATGTCTCTATGAAGCTGGTAAATCACATGATAGCATATAGAGGAGAACATTTAATTATGCATGCATGCATGTATGATATGTATGTATGTGGATTTTAATCGTGAAGACCAATAGAATGTAAGAAGGAAGATAGTCATGATACAACTGCATAATGAAAGAGAGAATCAATTGCCAGAATTAATGGGAGACATGTGATTGGTAATTTACAAGTAATAACATCACATAATATAGCAGAACCATCCAAAAGAAAGCTAATATAAAAACCATCTGATCTGCCCACGCTGAAACTTTTATTGGACATCTAATAAAACAATATATATATATATATATATATATAGATATAAAACAACTTTTCAGATTTATCTTTTATGGCAGACTGAACCAAAAAAGAATCTCAGAATGTGCAAGAAAGAAAAAACTAATTCTACATGATTTATCTATATATTATAAATGAAGGGTGCTGAATAAATTTTTCATTTTGGAAGAACCCACGAGGCTAAAGCAAAACTCTTTAATCATGCTTATTAAACATTCAACTTAAAATGATTGATAATAAATAAAGGGGCGAACTTGAATATAAAATTACATAAAATTGTAAATTTATTAGATGTAAGATAAATTACTTTAATAGGTCTCATTCATATGATAAATTATTTTAACAGACCTTAATCACATGTAAAAAAAAATAAAAGAAATCTTTCATGAGATAGATTAAAAAAGATAACAAAAAAAATTTTAACTCTAATATCATGTTAAGCATAAAATTTAAAAACAATTGATGGTAAGTAAAAGATTCAACTTGAGTATGAAACTACAAAAAAATTAAAAATTTATTATACGTGTATAACTCACTTTAACGATGCATAATGCAAAGCATAATATTTTTACTGATATTTTTTTTTCAAACGGTAAAACCAAAATATAAAAAGTAAAAATGAAAATCTAAAATACGAGACAGAGCAAGGAAATCAAGATTCAGATATTGAACATTTCTAATATCATTCACATTTTCTACGTTGGGAAAAATCTCCATCACCCTTCTCTAAGAACAATAGAGAAAAACGATAATAAAACTTTTTTTTTCTTTTTCATCGTTTTGATTCCATTTTCAAACCCATGCACGTAAAAAACTTATATAAATCCAAGGGAAAAAGAAACCCATTATACGAACATTCATCAATGGAATGGAAACGGAAAAAAAAGGTTACAAACCTCGAAGCTCCCCCGCCGGAGACAGAACGTCCCGAGGCAGAGAGGTGGTCAGAAACTTCAAATTTGCCTGGGAAGTTGGGAAGGCGAAAAGGTCAGGTTTTTCTATTTCTCTCCTATAACTTCTTTAAAAAGAAAATTAAAAAAAAAATCAAAAGCAATCTTTCTAAGTATTTCCTTTAAATCACAGCGTTGCTTTTCTTTCTCTTGTCACAGAGAGAAAGACAGCAAATTTCTGAAGTTGTCGTAGAGAGAGACCAGGTGTTAGTTTAAAAGGCAGAGCGGGCGTTGCGGGGTCCACTTATATGTGTGGCCCCTTAGAGCTTTGCTCAGGTGGTTCGAATCACTCTAATTTTACTGATTTTTAATTTTTTATTATTTAAATAACAAATGGTTTAATAACCCTTTAACACATGTTAAAAACTAAAAAATAAGCACCTTGACAGTTATTAAATTACTAAGTATGTTCTATAATAATTAAATTGATTTTCATGAATATTTGACAATTTGAAAATTAATTGCTTGATATTCAAGCTTTGCCATGATAATTTTTTTGCATAAATTACAATTTTATTTATTTAAAAAATTATTATAAAAAACTGTTCAAATAAACAAACTATATTATATGTACAAATAAAAATTACAAATATTTTAAATTTTTTTCATAAACTTGAATTTACAAAATAAAAATAATATTTACACGAATAAAATGATTTAATTAAAATTGATAATTTTTAAATATAATAAAACATATTTTTTAATTTTATCATGTAATTCTTAACGTTGTATTTTAAGTTTGATTAAATTCACGTAAAATAAAATTTGAATATAAAATTTAAAAATTTTAAAAAAATTTTATCACTATAAGACAAGACATCATTAGTTGAGACTTGAGATGTTATCAAACAAAATCATGTGAGAACATTCCACGCAAAAACTATATAGTTTTATTCTCCAAGTGCAATGTTTTGAGAATATGAGTTTTATTCTCCACGCAAAAATCTGGGAGTCTTCCGAGAAAATGATTATCGAAAATGAATGAAACAAAAACGAGTGAAAAAAGAAAAACATGACAAAATTATGACCAAAATAGGCTGCCATAAAAAGGGGAGGATACGAGAATTCCACATCTCTCCGCGTAAGGATTTGGAATTGCCAGATGGATTTAGAAATGAAACAGCAAACCGCGTAGACGTGAAGCGACCAAACTCTTAAAAAATATATATATATATATATTATTTTGTCTGTTTTATTACAAGTTTTTTCGTTGACAGACTGAGAATATGCGTTTGGAATCCTTGTCATTTGCTACCCACTGAACACTGACAAACATTCACTGATTCCGCGACCCAAGTCACATGATTTCCAGTCAATCTTTTTCTGGAATCTGGGAAAGCTACACGTCTTTTTGCATTTTCTTGGTGATTCCATTTTTTAGGTTAATGTCAAACTTTTTCCCTTTTATTTTTTTTGTTTTGTTTTAAAATTTTTAAAATAAATAAAGGATCGTTTGGTATTATTGTATATTTTATATTTTTAAAAATTTTGTTTTATTTTATTTTAATTTTTAATTTATTAAATTTAAAACTATATTGAAATAGAATATTTTTATTTTACAAATATAAAAATAAAAATATATAAGAAAAAATGATTAAAATTTTTATATTTTAAATGGGAGAGGTTTAAATCTGATCAAAAACAAAAATTTTGAACGCTAATAGTTCTGTAGAGACATTATAGCCGAGCGATAATAGTACCAAAATTATTTCAAAAAATTTTAAAACACCAATTTTCAAAATAAATTAAAAACGAAAATAAAAATTAATACCAAACGATCCTTAAGTTACTCGATCCTTTGGATAAAATATGCCTAACTAATAGTCTAAAAGTAAAAAGTTATCAGTTAAATTTAAATTCAAAATTTTTATATTGAGATGAATGATTTTTATCAATATTAAATTTATTTCTATAATTTAATTTTACTAAAGCTTTTCATTATAATTTTAATTTCATTGATTTTTAAATTAAAAAATAACAAAAAATTAGAATTAATAAATAGTACCCATATTTAGTTGCACAAAATTTATGGAAATTAATTCTTTTTGTTAACCCAACTTGGGTTTATGATGGACTTTGAGTTTGCTCTATCTGATTGATTTAATTTAAATTTAAATTTTAAACTCGTTTTTGGCCAATGCTGGAGTTCAGTATCTCTGATTGGTACAAAATCTAGGAGCACAGTTTGAGGTAATATGGTAAATAGTTAGAATTGTAGGGGGTTAAATGTCTAAAAACATTTTAAGAGCAAACCAGTTCCCCACCGTCGGATCTTCCTACGTCGACATTCAACAGTCCAGATCAATCCATCCAACTTCAGCCTCATCTTCATTTCCCGCAAATCGTAACTCCCAACAACCCAAAAATGACTGACAAGAAAGACGGCAATTTTCCGAGGAAGAGAGGATAAAGCAAAACGAAAACGATGTCGTTATGTTGCTCGTTGTCAAATCCAAAATCCATGTCTCTCTTCTCTCAAAAACCCAAACTCTTCAGCCATGGCTTCATCAGAGCTTCTTCTTCTGCCGACGTCCCCGATTTCCTCTCCGCTGATTGGTACGTTTCCAATCACAAAAATTTTTAACTACCCAAATCTTTATATTTCATGATAAATATATGTATGATAATAATTCAGACCTTTTTTTTTTCTTTCACTTTCAGGCTTGAATCTAGAAGGAAAAGGCCTTTTGGCCCCAGGCTAAATGTAAGTTTTTAACTTTGGAATTGTTATGGAAATGAAAAGCAATCAGTCAAAGCTGTAACTAAGTTAAACTGTTGCTATAGTTTAGTGCAGAAGAAGCTGTCCAACACCAACTTGATGCGTTGAAGTACAATGACCAACCTCGACAGGATTACGGGATCGAGGTTATGTACAGGGTAACTCCTAATAATACCAGACATTTATGTTCTTTTACATGTTAGCTGTTTTATAACATGTTTGGAATTTGTGTCTGTTAAAGAGCTGTTTTTTAATCTTTTGTTTTGACAGTTTGCTGGTTTTGATCCTTTTGAAAGGTCTAAATATTTTGGACCCTTCTTTGATCTAGGACAGGTCAGTCAATTATGAATTTTTCAAGGTTTTGGCATATTTGGTGCTATAGTTGCTGATGCTTTTTGCTGGCTTGCTACTTTCCCATCAATATAGTTCGAACGGTTTAGGCGAATTTTTCACCATTCAACTTATCGAGTATTGCTTGGTCACAAGGAGAGGAAGATTTTGAGCAGTTTGTTTGTCAAGGAGGTATGGATTGATTATAATTGCTCCATGCCATGTTTGTTATCCATGTTTTTCTAACCACTGTTGTTGTGTTTTTGAATTGTGAATCAGAACCGATTCAAACAACGGGTTTGGATACTTGGAAGTCGTCCGGAGGAGGAAGAAATATTTGAATTCACAATGGTGCAGGTTTGTTTATTGGACTTTTTTGCTAGTCATCTTCACTTCTTTCTTAGAACTATTAGCATTTGTGCTGTATCATGTGCCTACATTTGAACTTTCTGATTGAATTAAATCCTTCAGTGTTTATCATATTCAATAGGTGAAAGCATTTTGATCTTTTCATTTGTTGTATCAAATTTAGTTCTTTTATGAGTTTGAATCATCATTGAATCAAATAAAAGTTTGTGCCTTCATGTTCATGAACACAAAAGTCAGTAAGTCACATACTGAAACATTGGGAAGTAATTAACTGCCATATTTAATGTTTTCTGGTTGTTTTCTGCCCCATTGTCAAAGATATGAGAAGAGGGGAAAAGCTCAATTAAGTTAAGAAAATTTCTGAGGTTAACAACAAACTAAGCCTTATATCCCATAACTCTGGAGTGTATGAAAGGCCAAAAATAGGAATCATGTAAGAAAATTTCTGAGGTTAACATATATAAATATGGGAGTTTGTAATCATTTGCTGAGAATAAACTGACAAATCTCCCTTTTTATTAGAAACTGAACCTATACACTTTTCTTTATTCCTCTATGAATTAGTAGCTTGTTTTTTGGCAGAGGATTGGTGGTTCATGGGATGGTTATTGGTTGACAGAGAGTTTGCTTCATGATGGAGATGCATTTGCCGGTGGTTTGGCTTACTGAGAACATGAGTCGATGCAGCTAATCTCTGAATTACTTGTATTCTATTGTCCGTACTTCACATTCACGATTTATCTTGACCAGCCTTGTCAAACTTTGTATTTGAACCTGTATATATAAAGTTATAGTGGGTAGGGGCTGCTGTAATTGTTCGCTCCTTTGTTCATGTTTTAAATGTTCGTATATGCGCAAATTTCCTATATCTGTTTATGGTAGATAGCAAATGTAAGCTATCAAGTCTGCTAATGAAAATTATTTGATTCAGATTCTCCATTGCTAAATATAGGGTTGAAGCTTGTTCATTTGGAGAAGAGATCTCAACAGCCATAGAATTGAGTGTTGTAAGAATTACCCTTGGGTTGACAACTGAGGAACACATTCTCTACCATATGATACATCATACATGGATCCCTTTTGCAGGCCGTTATTCCTTTATTACAACTTGTATAAATGGAAGAAACCATCAAGCCAAGAATCAAGAAAGATCAACCTCTATAAAGTGGCAGTAAGATCTTATCCATCCAAAATTGGATAGTGACAGTCACCTGTAATCTTTAATAGGAAATCACAACTCCAAGTTAAGTACATTAGTGAAAATGGAGCAAATAGTGAACACTGCCAAAACCATTTTTAATTTGTTGTTAAAGAAGTCCAAACTTAGTAATATCTGTTTTAATTTAGGGCACTAAATTGATGTAAGTGGCACATCCATATTCAACCATTTAGCCAGCGTTTATAGCCAGAGCAATTGGATCATTCAGTCTAATGTAAGGAGAAATGTAGTAATTGCAATTTGTTGGAGTTAACTACAGATGCTCAGTTATTCAACTAAACCATTTAATCATATCGACTAGCCGGTCATTGACCAACAAAGTGTTGTACATGACAATAACAAAATTTCAGCTCATAACACAGAGATAAACCGATTGTAGCTCATCTCATCAACGCCATAACTCATGTCATTAATGCATTACATCATCCTTATCATCAAAATAATCCCCAAGTATAAGAATTTATAAAATTCAATAACATATCAATAATAACCAATGACTTCTGCGAACAGTACTAGATTTGAACTGCTATTTCTTCCCTTGTGATGGAGTGATGAACTTGGTAAGAACAAAGCAGTCAGGAGGCTCAATGTTTGTGTAATAGTTCTTGATTGTCTCTGTGATTTCAAATCCAAATTTCTTGTAGAAGTTGATGGCATCTTCATTGTTTGTCTGAACGTGCAAGTAAATTTCTGGTATGTTCTGCTTTGAACAGAGATCAAGAACATGGTTCAATAGCCTTGTACCTGCATAAATCCAAGATTTTAAGCTAACTTTCCAATTAAAAAGAAAACTAAAGATAAAAGGTTATTAACGAACTATGGTTTTTTATTCAGAATGAAGGGGAACATAATTTCCACAATGGAGTTTGTGTGAGACAACAGCTACTCCGATGCTTAACACGTACAGAAGGTAAAAGGTTAAGAGGGGAAGTGAAAAGAGTAAGTTTACAGGTACTGATAATTTATAAAGAAATACTATATTCTTAGTCACAAATGAACCATTTAACTCAGTGGCAGCCCAACCCCACTTAAAGAGTGGGCAGGTTCTTTTTAATTTTTTATGAGCAAGTTTCTTAACGAACATATTACTCTTTTGTGATAGTTAAGCATCCCAGGTACCAACAAAAATGATAAGGTGCCAGGACAAATTTAAAAATCAATAACCATGAACAAAGATCATTCCGTTAATTCCCTTGCAAGCCATACTCCAGGAGAAATATTGCTTGTCTACTCACCAATGCCTAGCCCACGATATGGTGCTAACACACCCAATGTCATGATGTACACACGGATTGCCCCACCTTCCTTCTTCTCCAGCCGGCAAGCAATTGATCCAACACAGATGTCACTGTAATATGCTGAGTTAGCAAGCAAAAGAGTGAGTATTAGCATAACATGCTGATATTTGGATAGTACGGTCATGTTCCATTTAAGCTGTTATCAGGTCTTGACTTGCATAATAGCTATGTATAACAATCACATCATATGATATGTGCATGTGCAAGTGTAACCATACACAATTTGTTCCAAGAGCCATCAAACAGCAATAAAAGAACATTAATTGTATCTTTCTAACCATCAATGCCAACATAATAAAACATGATATCATATGTTGAAGGCACGGTAAGAAAGATCACAAACATGCTCTTCACATTTCATAAGATCATAAAGTTAGACAAGAATAGAGCTACTCAAAACTTCAATCTGCTGTATTTCTCTTAGCATGACTTAAGGATTAAGGAGAACATAAAACATATATACAATTATCATGACAGAAGGAAATGATAGGATAATTATTCTCCAAAAGCTAACAAGTTTTGAAATGTCTACAGTCTACAGTTTCAGTGAACTGATATAGATCATCAAGCTCAACAAGCAAGCACCTCCTACACAACACATCAAATTTCAGAATCAGGATATCTTTAGCCTGGGATTTTAAGACTTTAAGAAGTTTTCCAGAAAAGTTTAATGATAGCTACTAGCCTACTGCTTAAAAGTTCAAAAAGCAATGCAGGATAAGGATGGATGTATTGACATTCCATAATATGTAGAGGACCAAGATAGAAGAGACAGAGTGGACCAGTTAAGATTGGAAACATATTTCAGTCCAAGGCTGCACAAGCACAACAGCAGAAATGAGAATGTTTTGTCATGTGATAGGTACAACATGTATGCATGTATTGAAAAGAATGAATGGTAAGAATAGTGACACCCATTTCTTAAGTTCAATAAGCCCAAAAAAAGTTGAAGATAAAAAAAAAATTAAAGGAGTTAGTTCTCAAATGCTGTAGAACACAATGCTTGGAACAAGAAGTTCAATCTACGTTGGTTTATCTAACCAGAAACTATTTAATCCTACAACAAATTACTTTGAAATATGATCACAGGGAGGACACTAAACTGATAACTGATACACCTTGATAGCAAACGTCAACTCGGAATTCCCCTCGAAAATAGCAAGGAACAATCAATCAATAGACGTTTTGTTTCAAGACTGTCAATTTCATCACTTGTAACTTAAACATCTAGGCTAACGATTTTGGGTCTTTGAGAATGGGAATAAATAAAAAAGAAGGTTTCAATGTCATTACATCCTCTTAATTTTATACTTTTCTCTTTTAAAACCTGATTAAACCATTTTTCAATCATGTGTATCATCACATGCCAATATAAATCAAACTGGCCCAACAAGACCAGCATTTTTCTAATGCAAATAACTAAAATCTCAAAATCAAACGCAGAAGCCAAAACCAACAAGACAATCACCAAATTCCCATAATATGATAATAACCACAAAGTCAGCGGGAGAAAAGCAACAATAAATTTCGCAATAGATGGTATATACTAACAAACAGAAAAGAAAAACCCATGATTCACAAAAGCCATTGCAAAGACAAAGCAAAACAACATGGACTAAACAAAGAGGATTTAACATTGGTTTTATGAAAAATAAGGAAAACCCGGAAAAGATTAGGCAAAAAATACAGGGAAAAAGGAAAAAAAAATTTAAAAAGAGAAGCAAACCAAGCTTGGTGAATTCGCCAGAAGCCAGAGCATCAGCATAGTACTTGTCGTTGTAACGAACAGGGAAGAGGACAGTGTTGAGCTTCTTCAGCTGCATCACGTTCTTGTCCCTCACTCCATCTAGTGATATTGCCACTTCTCGCCCAGACCCCATTTCTCACTCTTTAATTTAATTTCAGTTTATTAGTCGAAGAAAATGGAAACTTTTCGGAGGGGTAAAAAACAATGGCGGTGAGGGGATGATACAGACAGAATCAGACTTCTTGTATGTGCAGGGGAACGATGGCGGTATAGGGAGACAGTCTAGACAAATGGGAGAATGATTGCTTCGTGGGTAGAAGAAAATTGGGGTTTTTTCGTTTCCCACTGCTTTCCATTGATTTGGTTTTTCACTTTTTTTGGGTTTCGTTTTGATTTCCATGAAATTTCTCAGGTTGGACTTGAGAATTCAGCCCAAATTTCTCACCAGGCCCTGGCCATAACCGCAGAGCGATATCAGTTTATTTTTTAAAAATAAATTTTTTTAAAATTTTTGTGACAATTTATTAATTTAAAAATTGGGATATATGTTTCTCAAGTTAAAATTGAATTTTCGTATGAATATGTTTTGAAGAGTACTGCTAATCTAAAACGATACAATTGCATGATATGTATATGATATAAAAATAAAACACAAAAATAATATAATTTAAAATTTTAATAAAATTAAAAAATATATATTTTATATTTTTATATCAATACAAATTATGACACATAATTTTTATATAAAATATAATATAAATACACAAATTTTAATATTTTACATTACACAAGTACACGAATGTCAAAACTATAGTGACAGTGATTTGGGTAAGCAATTCATTTTAACATGAATCTAAAACTCACGTGTTCAAAGGCTTTATGTTTGATAGAAATCAAGGACAAAAGAAAATGTAGAGTTTCTCATTCATGGTTTTCATAAAAAATTTTATTTCTCATTCATTATAACAACAAAAAGAGGAAACATTGCCAAGCAAGTTTCTACATACATACCTACAAATAACGAATTAAAAGGAAAATGTAGAGTTCATTTCTGGTACATCAAACAGGTAGCATTCTCACATAACCGAATTGATATTTTCTACTTAGTGCATGAAATTACACTGATTTTGCTGGCCAAGTTGCTTGAGCTGACATAATTATACCTACAATCACTCCGAACAGTCCAAGTGCACTGCCAAAAATCTCAATCACAAGAATCTTCACAAAAAGTGAGGAGTTTTGCGCATCAGACAGTGCACAGCTGCTTCCGATTATTCCAACGCACAATCTGTTACCGAAACAAACCATGAGTACACAGAAATAAGCAAAATGTTCGTTCAGATAACTATATTTAGAGATTAAAGAATAAAGGATAGAAAGATGAACCCGCAAACAAGATTTGCGAAGCCAACAATGATTCCAGAAGCAAAGATTGCATATCCTGCTCTAAGAGACTCTGGGGCATGTATCTGTGATGCTGGAACACTCTCCAACTTTGTTTGTAAAATAATTGCCACAATAACACCATATATAGCCACAGCTTCACAGAAGATTACACTGCAATACAAACAGCATTGAGTAAAAAACTTACCATTTCAACAGGTAATGCAGCATCTCAAATAAATAATCAGCAATGCCAAGGAAAAGATCATCTCAGATTAAAACAAAATTTAAGATACCATCAATTTGATCAAGTCCAGTTATTCAAATCTATTTCATGACTCATAATTGTTCTCCATTAGTCCATCCACTCTAGTTTACAATTAATCCAGAAGACATTACATGAATTGAGTAAGTTACACAATCGGCAACTTGTTTCCCATTTCAATACTAGGCAGGCCATCTCTAAATTTGCAAGGCAATCTCTATAATCATAGCTACTCTTGTCACTCATGCTCAGTTTTAAGAAAATGCATGCCCCTCCTTCCAACTTATAACTAGACCTAGCAATTTAAAATATGACATGGTGACATATACAAACATAGTACGAATAAAGGACATAAATGTGACACAGTTTAAAATTTTAGCAATAACTATATATAAGTTTAACAAAACAAAAAAATCACATTTCATGTTTTCATGTCAACACAAAGTGTTCGTATATAACAAGTCACAAATACACGAATTTCAATATTTTACATTACTCAAATACACGAATTGCCAGGATAGCTCGATGCAAGTTCCAAGCATAAACATTTTATAGATCCAGTGCATAAGAATACACTTCAAACTTTTAAAAAAAGGAACGTTATTAGTTTCCCATATATGATTTTCAAAGGCCAGTAACAAACTCTAATTCAATTCAACAAATCTGAAAGAATAAAGCATAATTAAGGGCAATTTATTTATAAACTACAGAACAAACTTAATTAATAGATTAGGGTTTATGAAAAATAAGAAATAGGTCCTTTCCCAGATTAAATCACGCAATCAAATTAAGAACAAAAAAGGAAAAAAGATTACCTAATGAGATTCTTGGAAGTGATTCGAGGAGCTTTAACGGCGGCACCGATTAAACTACTCCCAGTTATGTAAATTCCCCTATGAGTGTATAAAAAAAAAACAATTTGATACATGTTTCATAAAATTACGCCTAAGATTTAAAGAAAAAATTAAAAATAAAAGAAAGTTAAAAGAGAACGGTACCAGGCGGCGCCGAGGACGGAGACGCCGATCGCGATGGCGATACCGACTGCCGAGAAAGTGTAAGGTGAAATCTTGACGAGAGCAGTGGCCCAGGAGCTTGAATCTCCAACCGTTGAAGTTCCTGACATTGTCCTTTTTATTTGCTTTACTCCTTGGTCTGATGAATTCACCGCACTTATGATTGATCCGAATTCTGATGAGATAAGGGAGAGAAAAGAGTGCTCCTAGTCAAAACGGCAACGTTTCTTTAGATGCTAAAGATGTGGGCCGACACCTCTTGGGTTCAAAGTGGATCTTTCTTGGGCTAGAAGTTAAGGTGTTTCATATAATAATTATGTAATTTTGGTCATTTCTATTGCTCGGATTATAGTTTTGGTTAATTCAACTTTTCAATTTATTCAAAAATTTTTTTTTTCAATTACTATTTTAAAAGTAGATTAAGATAGTGGCCATTGAATTAAATATCATAATAATGAATTGCAAAAAATAATTAGATTAAAATTTATTTGAATCTGCTTATAAATAACAATATATTATTTTTCGTGTGAATATTCATATAGTTTATCATTCATTTTATTAAAATTTATAAATTATCTAAATATAAAATTGATTTTTTGAATTTATTTATTTAATTTTGATTAATAAATCACATAAAAATAATTTAATTTTTTTATTGTGTTTTAATAGAGTATTACAAATAAAAATAGCATAGAATGTGAATACAGTATCTGATAATAGAATTTGGATTAAGCTTCATATTACCCTTTCCTTAAGTTCAAGTAGTTAAAAAGAAATATTTTCGATGAACATAAAGTAAGAATCTTTAGATTTTACCATGAGATATCCATCAAATTTGAAAGTGCATTCTTTTTTTCTACAAAAAAAAAAAAAATTATCGAGACTAAGAATAGCAACAAGTTGGATTGGATTGAGATTGATTTTTGTTTGCTTGGATTTCAATTTCAATTTTTTAATATTTATATTCAAGTTTTATCCAATTCAATATCAAAATATTATTCTTTTAATATTTGATGGATTCGTGTATTTATAAACAACAGCTGACCCAACTTAAAATTAATTTAATATTTTTAGTTTTAGCATAATATTCATAAAATATTATTTTTAATATAAATTACATCTTAATCATACATAGATATAATATTTTTATTAAGTTAATATCTTAAATTAAAATATTAAATAATAATTTTATTAATATAATATATAAAATTTAAATTTAAATAAATAATATAAAATATTTTTTATATATACTTAGATCGGATTGAGGAGTTGATACTTAAAATTTAACTCTGATTTTATTCAATTTAAAAAAAAAATTAATTCACCTTTCACTTGACCTTTAATTTAAAAAAATAATTTTATAGAATCGAGACATATTAAAATTCATCAAGAGAGTTATTTTGTCATTCTTAATCGCAGCCTAAAATAAATGAAGTGATTATAATTACAAAAACTTGAATTTAAACTTACAAAATAATTATATAAATCATCTGAATTATATTTTATATTTAAAGTACATTTCCTATTATAGAACATAGTGTTGGTCCATGTACAGGCCACCACCAGGCACAAATATTAGTAATTTAATCTTATAAAATGTAAAAGATGATAGACATGCAAACTTCACATGCTAAACCACCCCATTTCCAACCCAACGAGATACAAAGCAATTAGACATTTTCCTCTTTCTACAAGATCTTTTAGATTCTTTCCACCATTTTCTTCTTTTTTTTTTTTTTTCCAATTTATTAATCTCAAACCAATATTTCCAAAGGCCGGTCATGTCTAGGGGAGGTAAATGTCGGGTCGGGATAGGTTTTTGCTCGTCTCGAATTCGACTTGACTTTAAATATGTAAAACTCGAATCCGAATTCGATCCGATATTATGTAAAATCATATTTTATTCGATTCGATCCGAAATTAATAAAATATTATTTTTAATATAAATATAAAATTATATATATATAAATAAATATATAAATAATTATAAAATTAAATAAATAATTATAAAATTATTTATATATATCGGATCGGATAGGATCAGATTTATCTAAAACCCGATCATGATTTTTTCTTTATGTCACCCGACCCGACTCGATATCAATTTAAAAAAAAAAAAACTGATCAAATTAAAACCCATCGATTTCAGATTTTTTTACCTTTTCTAATCATGTCTCCCCATCCAATTCCAAAAACAAATTTCCAATTCTCTGACTTCGAGCTCAATACAGCCTAAATTTATTTATTTTTTATTTATATGTTTTCTTACATTATTGTATCTTGTCTGAACATGAGAAAAGATCTTTGTTTTAAAATTCAAACATTTTATTTAGATTCCGGTTGGTGCTTTTATTTTTTATTGTTTTTCAACAAAAAGTAAAATATAAAAAATGGACTGAAAATAAAAAAATAAATAACAAAAAACAAAACCAATTAATCAAAACCTAAACAAATATATCCTTAATGTAGGTTATAAATTACTGTAAAAAATATAATCACATTGTTTTGTTATATTATAACGTATTAAAATTTTAATCTTAATTATGTTTAATTGGTAACAATTTCAAATATAAAGGCTTGAATGGAAAATTTATAGAGAAAAAGTTTCTGGCCTGCAAAATGTAATGACACAAGTCACACAGCCCTCAAGAACAAAAAATCATCCATAACTTCTAAGCAGTCAATAATACACAATGCAAAGACATAAACAAATTGTTTTTATATATTATCAGTGTTAAGAGATTGATACATATTTTATTTTTTAATTTTTTTAATTTTTAATATATTTTAAAAATATATATCATTCTCTTAAATCTGTTATTGAAATATAAAAACTTTACTAATAGTAAATGAAATAATTTATCTTATCGTTTTAAGTTAATTAATTTTGTCTATATAGAAATTAAACCACAAACATAGATCAATAATTAAGATCAGCTTTAGATATGTATATACTTTAAAAATTACAAGATTCACCAAAAAAAAAAAAAAAACCGGGTTCGAGTTATTTTTTAATATTGTTTCTTATACTAATTAATTAATTTGATGCTAGGATGTGGTTGGCACATACACTAATAAGATAGGTTTTGAAACAAAAAATTCTTTTAAATTAATTATTAATAACTCGAATCACATAATTGTGCAACCCACTTTGGTGCGTGTACCATAAACAACACAATAGTATCACATAAATTAGTGAGAAAATGTATAGGAATGCAGATTTAAATAATAATTCGATGTTGGACCTACGAGATTTTCTCCGTAGCTGTGGGGATTTCGTACACATGGGACATATGATTATGCTTATTATCATTTTTTTTTTTGGCCTTCTATGGTTACAAGATTAAATTGAGGCACATTATCGATTTTTGCTTACTTAATTTGTAAATTAACTTGGAATTGGTCGCTTCTTATTACGACCACAACGGATTTATCATAATTTTACTTGACAACACAATAAAGATGATTAATTGAATTAAAAAAATTATTAAAACTCGATTATAAAAATCTTAACGTTATTATTATTAGAATAAATTATTATTCGAATTGATATTTTTTGTGTGAAAATTATGTGATCGTTGATATTTTCGTTGTATTGTAACAAAATTATGTTAATTTTAAATAAATAAAATTAAAATTTATAAAAAAAAAAGTTGAAAAAGAAAATATATAGCATAGTATGATTCTTCTATGAGATCCTCACTTTATTTTAATTTTTGAGTGTGCTCAAAGTAAAATGTAAAATTTTCAAAGTTACATGACATCCACCTAACCCTGTTCATGGAAATAATAATTATAGTTTGGTTAAGATTGTGACTTGCAGTAAGAAACTTAAAAAATATATATAGAGAAATTAAATTAATTCAATAGAATATTGCTTGACAGAGATGGTAAAGCCATCAAGAAACAGATGGGAAGGTAAATTTGAAATAGAATTTATGTCTCTAATATCCTAATGCACAAAGCTAATCTTTAGCTAACCTCAATGAACCAATCATTTAAGACAAATCTGAGATATTTAAATTAATTGCAAAGTCAATGGAAATATTTTATCAGTTATTATCTTATACATTATTTATGAAGATTTTAATTTCACAAGAAATTAAATTTATATTTACCAGTTGCCTGATTTAATTGCATGATTTATTGATAAAAAGTTGAATTTTTAATTTAAAAATATATTTTTTTCAATTAAATGACATGAATAAAAAATAAATCTATTTGTTAATTGTGAAGTTTTAAATTTAATTTACCATCAAAATCAATAATTATAGATTTATAATAATCTATTTTTCATTCCTTTCAAACATGTTTGTATGCTTCTTTTTTTTAAAAAGAAAATTGAATCAATAGAGAAAGATAGGCAATGTCAATGGCTATGTTCATCCCTTCAAAATGTTTTTTATTATTTTTTGAAGGTCAACTATTTTATAATGAAAAAATAATTTCCAAATATATAATAAAAATCCAAATTTTATCACTAAATCAATAAGTTAATTTATAACCTTAATGCTAAATTGGATGAAAATTTTTATTTTTGCAGTCAGAAAGTTTGGTTTTGCAAACCAAATGCATGAGCTAATGTGTTTGAGTTTTAAATATACTTTTGAAAGATAAAATTATTCTTTATTCATATAACTTTAAACTTTGATTATTTATACATATATATATATTTATATTTCAATACATCAATATTATTTTTTTATAATAATTTTAAACGTTAAAAATTTTAAATTATATTTTTCTAATCGTACTTTGAAATATACTTTTTTCAAATCGAACTTTTTCAAATAGTAACAATAATGTTAAATTACACTTAAAATGAAATTATTTTATAATTAAAATTTAATATTCTATCAAAATATATCATGTGATGAAATTTAACATTTTATCACTTATATTTTGGGTCATCCATCTTATACCCAACTTATTCAACTCTATTTGTAGGGTTTGAAACAACCCAAGGATCTCACTCTCTCCTTTTTCAACTTTAAATAGAGAGTCATGTTGATGGTAAGATTAAAAAAATGGAGAGTCATGTTGATAGTAAGATTAAAAGACACATTAAGTATAAAAGAAGTAATCACTTTATAATTCGCTCACTGATTTTAAATTTTTGTTTTTAAATTGGGTGAATATTATAAATGATTTTTGAACTATAATAAAATATTTAATATG